GTACTGCAATCCCTGTCCCAGAAGTAAATGCGGGAGACCCGGATACTTTCATTCTTTCTATGCAAGTTACAAACTTTATATAGTAAAGTCATATAATTTCTAACAAGGAGAGAAGCAACCTAAAACTAACAGTGAGAGCAATCAACCAATGGAATAGCTTGCCTTCAGAAGTTCTGGGTGCTCCATCATTGGAGGATTTCAAAAAGAGACGGGACTGCCATCTATCAGAAATGGTATTGGGTCTCCTGCTTGTTCAAGCGGTTGGACTAGAAACCTCCAAGGTTCCTTCCGACTCTGTTATCCTATGTTCTAAGTGAAATGGAATAAAGAGGCTTGGGACTCTGTTAGGCAGGCAGCCATATAACTATGAAAAAAAGAATACAATCAGGCCAAAATTGGCATTGGGGAAAAGTTGGCAAAAGAAAGATCAAGTTTAAAAAATAAGTTGGATCCAGCTGGGGGCTGCAAAGAAAAAGGAAAGTAATAACAGAGTTGGAAGGGACCTTGGAGCTCTTCTAGTCGAACCCCCTGCTCAAGCAGGAGACCCTATACCAGGGTGAAATCCAGCAGGTTCTGACAGGTTCTGGAGAACCGGTAGCAGAAATTTTGAGTAGTTCGGAGAACCGGCAAATACCACCTCTGGCTGACCCCAGAGTGGGGTGGGAATGGGGATTTTGCAATATCCTTCTCCTGCCACGCCACCAAGCCATGGCCACCAAGCCACAGCACACCCACCAAGCTATGCCCACAGAACCAGTAGTAAAAAAGTTTGGATTTCACCACTGCCCTATACCATTACAGACAAATGGCTGTCCAGTCTCTTCTTAAAAGCCTCCAGTGATGGAGCATCTAAACTTCTGAAGGCAAGCCGTTCAACTGATTAATTGTTCTCACTGTCAGGAAATTTCTCCTTAGTTCTAGGTTGCTTTTCTCCTTGATTAGTTTTCATCCATTGCTTTTTCTTCTGCCTTCAGGTACTTTGGAGAATAAGTTGACACCCCTCTTCTTTGTGATAGCCCCTCAAATATTGGAACACTGCTGTCTTATCACTCCAGTCCTTCTTTTCATTAGAGTAGACACACCTAATTTCCTGCAACCACTCTTCATATGTTTTAGCCTCTAACCCTCTAACTGCTACTCTTTTCTGCACACTTTCCAGACTCTCAGCATCTTTTTTTATAATGCGGTGACCAAAACTGGATGCAGTATTCAAAGCGTAGTCTTACTAAGGCTTTATAAAGCAGTATTAATATTTCACATGATTTTGATTCTACCCCTCTGTTAATGCAGCCTAGGATTGCATTGGCTTTTTAAACTGCTGCCTCACACTGCTAGTTCATGGTTACGTGATTGTCTACTAAGACTCCAAGATCCCTCTCACAGTTACTGTTATTGGGCCAAGTTTCACCTAATCTATACCTGTACATTTGGTTTTTCTTGCCTAAGTGTCAAACCTTACTTTTCTCTCTATTGAATTTCATTTTGTTAGATAGGATACAGTGTTCAAGTCTGTCAAGATCCATCTGGATCTTGTGCCTATCTTCTGAACTGTTGACACACACATATATACAGATATTAATTTCACTAAAGATGCTATATACCTGTCTTATGGCCATTGGTAAAGTGGTTGAAAATATACTCTTCTCTTCATGCTTTCCTCACCCTGTTTACGTTGGATGAAAAATCTCTACCAATTGCAGTAGAGATAATTAAGAAGACTTATTCTTTTTGCACAATTTTTAATTTAGTTAAAATACAAAATAAAGAAAGACAGAAGAAACATACTAGCAACCATCAAACACTGATATTACAAATAAAACAACCCAGACAATTAGGAGAAACTAGCATCCTTGTTCCAAGAAACCGTAGTGAGGTTCGTAAGATAAAAACTAGGAAAGACACTTCAAGTATCTGAAAGAATATCAGATAGAAAAAAGTAAGAACCTATTCTCTAGGGTTCTAGAATATGGGTCACAGGAAGGCTGGTTTCAGTTTGAGTTGTTAGGAAAAGCTTGCTAATGGGTGAGAACAATTCACCAGTGGAAGCAGTTAGCAAGAAAGTGACAAATTTTCTATCACTGAAAGCAGAGATTAGATAACCATTTTGGGGACTGATTTATTCGGATTCCTGCACTAAACGGAGAATTGAACCTGGCCCTGAACTGCTGCTTTAAGGTGTGATTCTAAATGTGGAATCTGGTTCTGCTTTAAAAATAAGCTTTCTACAAATTCATGTATTTTCTATCAGGCTTTGCCAAAACACTGAGGTAAATAAAGAAATCTTACAAAAACAAACAAAGGTCTCTACCAAACCCATAAAAAGGATATGGAACGAATAGCTGTCCTCCACTCTTGTTTCCAGCAACATCATTAAGACTGTCTATGGCAGTGTTTCTCAACCTTGGAAGCTTGAAGATGGGCGGACTTCAACTCCCAGAATCCCCCAGCCAGCTGGCTGGGGGTTTCTGGGAGTTGAAGTCCGCCCATCTTCAAGCTACCAAGGTTGAGAAACACTGGTCTATGGAGATTCTCAGTCATCCAGATTATGGTTGCCCAAAGGTGCTTTTTCAAGAGGCAACTTTCTGGGTTTTCTTTGAAGATGTTTCACTTTTCATCCAAGAAGCTTCTTTGGCTTCTTCAGAGCTGAAGAAGCTTCTTGGATGAGAAGCAAAATGTCTTCCAAAAAACCCCCAGAAAGTCCAGTTGCCTCTTGAAAAAGCACCTTTGGGACGATATCATCAAGAGTTTTTGCCTGTAATCCTGGGGGCTCACCTTGCTAACACAACTTGGTCCCCACCATTGGTAGGACATTGCTAGCTTTGTACAATAATCTGTTGAATGCAGCTCTTTGGACCATAATGAGAAAAATCAACAAATAACAGTGCCTCAGAGTTTTCCATCCAGTTGAATGTAGAAAGAGAATAAAATACTGCTCCTGGGTGGGTGGGGAGGGATGAAAAAGTAACCCAAGTTGTAGTTTGAAATGGAAAATGTATCTATTTACAGATAGTCCTCGGCTTAACAACCACAAGTGTAACCTGTTTTGCCACCTGTGTACCATTTGTGTCAAAGCTGTGGGGCCATTAGGCTCATATGTGCACATACTTCTGAACCCCCAATGAAGGATTGATGTGACCACTTTTTTCATGTCGAAGACAGCATGTTACTCCTTCTGCCTTAAATCTCAGTTGTGATTGCTGTTTCTCTCTGTTATTTCTAGACCAAATATAATTAAAACACTGGAATATACATGTCAGTTTACCCCTCACTGTAAATATATCTGTACAAGCCACCTACAAAGAGATTTGAGAAGCAGAAAGGAATAAATAAAATATACAGAGAGTATAACAAATTGTTAGCCGCCCAGAGTCACAGTTGTGAGATGGCTGGCTGGCTATATAAGTAGATTTAAAGAGAAAAAAAGAAAAACACACAGACACACACACAAATTCTTGTATCTTTAACTGGGTGAAGCAGTACATTATAGGGCAATGCTTTTTCAACTAACTGCATCAACTGGGCTAACTTAAAGAATGTCAGGATCCATTACTCCCAAGGGAATGAAATGTGGGAAAATTGTGACTGCTTCAGCGCTGCCACAGTCAGCTATGATTGTCATTTTCAATGTTCCCCAATAGCTTCTCACATATCCACAGGAGTGCCAGTCCCTCTGTGCTCACACCACACTCCCTTCTCCCTCTCTCTCTCTCCCTCCCTCCCTCCCTCTCTCTCTCTCAGCAAACAGAGGTAGTGAAGGGAGGGAATAAAAGGAGAGGAAGCAAGGAAGGAAGCTTTCTGATGCTCACTGCCCCCTTCCCACAAGAAAACTCAATGGGGAAGCCAACAAGAAGTCAGAAGTCATTCCCACTCCCAATGATTTCTTTTTGCCCACCTGTGGTCATTCTGTTTATCTATCTAGGTAAGGAAATAGCTTTGAAATGATGACCCAACAGATCACAGGTTGTGTGTGTGAGAGAATGTATTGTTCCAACCCATATTTTCTGTTTCCTAAATAAAATAAGTTTTGTTGTATGTTGTATGTTTTAAAAAGGTAAAATTGTAATTCCTAAAAGATGGCAAAAAAGGATTTCTTTTAGCCTCTTCTCCCCTGCATTCTATTCCAGAACTAATATAAATATGCTATCATCATCTGCGCCACCTTTGTATATCAAGTCTCATTTCCTGATCCAACTCCATTTATGTTGTGTTTGCAACTCTAATTCTGTGTTTTGTTTTGTTTTCCTTTAAGCTTAAAATTATTTTCTTCACTACTGCTTCTTCCTAAAATCTTCCAGTGCTAAAAGCACAGCTTGATACTTGAAAATCAAGACACACTGGTTTTGCTTCAGGCTGTATGTCCTCCCAGACTGTTGTCAACAGCCAAGATCAAACATCAGAGATCTTGCTTGGCAATTGCCTTGATGCAGGAGGTGGAGCCCAGTTCAACATCTTGATCTCCCTTCAGTTATATTGAAAGATTTTATTGGAGACAGTAGAAAATTGTGTAATCATCTAAGAAGTTATAACTCAAGTGAACAGATAGGAGCGATTTCTCTTTCCCAAGGTGCCTCTTTAACTTGCATTCCTGTCTTAATGTTGCATGTGAGAAGTGGGCAGGTTCCCTGGTATGATTTCGATTTCCTGTCAGTCCAGTCTTTCACTGGCACTTTTTGTCTTGTTTCTCGTGTAAAATTAAATTACCAACCTGAAAAAAAAATGACTGATGTGTAACTGAAAATAAAGAGATTTTCTGCCTCAAGCACAAAGGTTTTTCTAATGGTCCTGTAATAAAAAAAAATGGCTTAGACGTAAACAGCAGGGCCTTACGATTAAAATAATTCTTAGCAACTGTCCAAATCATTTCTGATTCTGTAACATACAAATAGCTGTGGATTAAAGATTATAAGAGCTGTTATTGTGAAGTCTCTTGCATCTTGCAGGAACTGAAATTATCTGATCCACTTTCTGTCTTATATTTTCCTTAATGAATACAATTAAAGATATGTTGTTACAGAACTGATGCAGAGTGATCTCCATAAGATTATCGTCTCTCCTCAGCCACTCAGCTCAGATCACGTCAAAGTTTTTCTTTACCAGATTTTAAGAGGTAATTTACTTTAGATTTTTAATGTGGAACAAATATATTGGAACCCCACTGCAGTATGTAAAATGTATTTCTTCACTGCTGTCCATGTAATGTAAACATTCTACTAGAAGCCAATTTGTGGGACCTCCGATAAAATAGGCATAGTTATAGGAGAATCATGTGGTCTTTAAGCAAATCCAACTTCCCCATTGACTTTGCTTGTCAGAAGTCAACTGGGAAGGTTGAAAATGGTGATCACATGACCCCAGGGTGCTGCAGCCATTGTAAATATCTTCCAGTTATTAAGTGCCTGGATTTTGATCACACGAACGGAGGGGATGCTGTAAAACTCGTAAGTGCAAGAACCAGTTGTGAATCATTTTTTTCAGCGCCATTGTAACTTTGAACATTGTAAGTTGAGGACTACCTGCATTGAAACAGCAGGTAAAGAGGAGCCGTATAAATTAAAATAAGTAAAGGTTTCCCTGCAAGTAAGCACTTTTTAAAAAAACATTTACAACTGCAAAGTAATTTGTTTAGTCATACTGTATTGCTTCTGTAATGTTAATACAGTCCCTATAAATAATATGAATTCAATTTAGAATTGAAAAAAAATGTATACATAGCAGAATAACAGAGTTGGAAGATGCCCTGGAGGTCTTCTAGTCCAACCCCTGCTGAAGCAGGAGATCCTACACCATTTTAGACAAATGGCTGTCCAGTCACTTTATAAAAGTGTCCAGTGATGGAGCACTCACAACTTCTGAAGGCAAGCCGTCCCAGTGGGGTTTATTGTTCTCACTGTCAGGAAATTTTTCCTTAGTTCTAAGCTGCTTCTCTCCTTGATCAGCAATAATATATATGCTGCTTTAGTCTGGATTCCATAGGGTTGCCAGGTGTCCATTATTTGAGCGGACAGTCCACTTTTTTCACATTATGTTCACTATTTTTTTTCACAAAATAGTGGACATTTTTTTTATTCAAAAGCTTTATGATGAAATGGTACGTAATCTAAAGCTGTACAGTCTAAGAGAATAAGGATAGGAGAATCGTTTTTTGTCTTTTTTTTCATAAGTTAGAATGAGACAAAGATCGAATGCTCATTGCAATAATCACATTTTACACAACAGCGCAAAAAATGCATTAAAGCAGTTATCTTTTGATATCGAAAATGTAGTGCTGGAGGTTTTTGCCGAATTTTCGAATTCTGCGAAGAAACGAGAAGAGTTGAAATCATTTTTTGAGTTTTGCGAGTCAGAATTCGATGAAGTTTTGCGCCATGTTCCAACACGGTGGTTAAGTTTGTTTAAAGCGGTCGAAAGACTTCTTTTAAACTGGATACCTCTAAAATCGTATTGGACTAAGGGTAAATCCACCTTCATCTGCTGAAGTTCATTAAGTGACCTATAACCGTGCCTCTTCCCACTCTTGTTCTGTATGGATTCCATTTGCCAAGTTTTTACAATGAAACTTATCAGCAGATCAGCAGATAAAGCAAAATGAACAAGCTGTTCATTGGCCAGCTTGTTGCAAAGCCTGATGCTGATTTGGGCTGAGTGGGAGGGACTGGCCGAAGGTCACCCTTGCTGGCTTTTGTACCGAAAGAAGGGCTGAAACCTTAGTCTCCCCACTCCTACTACAATACCTTAGCTCGGTGTTTCTTAATCATGGCAATTTTAAGACATGGACTACTTCTCCCAGAATTCCCCAGCCAGCATGGTGTCTGGAGAATTCTGGGAATTGAAGTCCACATGTCTTCTTGTTGCCAAGATTGAGAAATAAAGCCTTAACTACTAAATAATGTTGGCTGCCTTCGGGGTCTGATTGAATATGTGTCATCAAGTCATTGTTGATTCTTTGCAACCCAAGAGATAAAGTTTCTCTAGGACCCTAGAGAGGGTATAAAAAATAACACTTTGGCTTCCAATATGTCAGTTTTTGCAGTCACAGACTTGATGCCACAGCTTGTTCTGATTTTGAACTTTTGTTCTGCTTTGATTTTTTCTAGGCCTGAAATACTTACATTCAGCTGGTATTTTGCATCGAGACATTAAACCAGGGAACCTTCTTGTGAACAGCAACTGTGTTCTTAAGGTATTTTTGTAATGCCTGTATAAAATAGTCAGCCTTTCTGAGTCTGTGCCAAAAATCATTTGGGTGAAGACTTGCTTTTGCAATCTGTATCACCCGGATATATTTAGTACAAAAACACTGTACTTTGCATTTCTCTGAAATAGTCATAAATATTTTTGTATAATTTTATTATTTTTTAAAAAAAAGATTAAAAACATATACAAACTAATAAAGAGTGAGAAAAAAAAGAAATCAGAGGAAAAGCTAGATGGAAAAGAAGTAAAAGAAAAATAGAACAGAAAGAAAAAAGATACAAGCAAGTAGCTTCTGATCTTCTTCACAGCAGTTATAATTATAAATTAACCTCTTATTCTATGGTTATAATCCAGCTCTCTTCTTTCTATAGTCTGTTCTAATCATTAAAACCATAAATCATGAAACAACCATAAATATTAATGAGTTTGTACTGGTGAAGAGCTGTCCCTATTTTAAAAATAGGATTTCATCGAATGCATTATTGGCAGTATGATTACAACAGTGAGAAGTGTTGTTAACCACTCACTTGCCATATTTGTCAGTTATGATTGTGTTCTGTTGGCATAAATAATTACACTTGGGCTAAGCAGTAGCAGAGGGAGAATTATATTTCTCCTCATCTCCTTCCCACAATAAATTTAAACAAAACACACTGTGCTTAAATGCCAGAGATGTTCCCTCGTTGTAAATAAATACTCTCTGACTGAAGCCAATGACTTTTCTTTCCTGTTAACTGAGTAGCTTAAAATTGTGGTGTTGGCAGAGTTTGGTCTCTTTGCTACTCTAGAAAAAATATGAATGTTTACTCCAGCTTAAAGTGTGATACAATTATTTTAATCTCTTCATATTGCTACTTGTGAGAACATTGACTATACAATAGTTTGCTGCTACATGTGGCTAAGGACTCACTGTTAAAAACAGCAAACTGAATTGTACTTTAGGAGCGTTTATGATTGAATCTCATTAGATAGAAAATAAATCCACATCTTAAAAACAATGAGAGCTAGATTAGAATTCATTGTCATAGTGCACAGAACCAATTTTCTCTCTGGAGAGATTTATAGCTCTTTTGTATAGAGGAACATAATCTCATCTAAGCCCCACCTGCTCTTCTAAGTGGGTACAGCCCAGATACAGGTAGACTTTATTTGCTTGTGGAAACTAACCCTTGAAAGATCAGCACTGAGAAAATCCTAGGTAGAGCATTGCCTGGTGTTAACTCACCTTCCCACCATCCACCCTAAACATAGCCATGTACAAAAAGTGGTGGGGAGATCAGGTGAGTGGCACTCTTCCTTCTAGCATGCATCGACATTCATAGATGATCTGGACTTATGTGTCAGTGTGCCTCCCACTGTTGTTTCTATTCCCATAATGGTGAGAGGATTATAATTATAGTTGCTACAAGCTACATGAATCGTCTATATTTGCACATGCCTGGTTCACATATGTGTCCAAGCCCTGCTTATTAAGATGAAGAATCAGTTTGGTGTAGTGGTTAAGGCATCAGGCTACAAACTGGGAGACTGGGAATAATAGTCTTAGTACAAAGCCAACTGGGTGACCTTGGGCCACTCTCTCTCAGCCCCAGGAGGCAGGGAGTGGAAAACCACTTCTGAAATCTCGCCAAGAAAATTGCAGGGACTTGTTCAGGCTATCTCCAGTGTCAGAATCAACACTGATTTGTGGGTACCCAAAAAAGAGGAAAAAAATGACTAGGATGATGTATCAGAATTCTTCTCCCTACCCTCACTGTTTATAACATTATCAAATCTTTATTTTTTCAGATCTGTGATTTTGGCCTAGCCAGGGTGGAAGAATTAGATGAATCTCGTCATATGACTCAGGAAGTTGTTACTCAGTATTATCGGGCTCCGGAAATCCTGATGGGAAGCCGTCACTACAGCCATGCTATTGACATCTGGTCTATAGGCTGTATATTTGCCGAACTGCTGGGGCGAAGAATATTGTTTCAAGCTCAAAGCCCCATTCAGCAGGTATAAAGGTGCTTTGCTTTTAATGCAATAGATCTGGCCACGTACTCCCACCTAATGAGTTGGATTGCAATTGCCAACATACCCAGTCCTCGTTCAGCATGGGGAGGGGGGCACTAGAATAAGAAAAAGTACTTAGAGATTTCCTGATTTTTAGGGTGGGTTTTGGTGGGTGGGTGGGTACGTGAGCACACATAATCTTTACTTTTTCTACTAAGAAATTGTGGTTAACCATTAGAGGCCTGATGATTTAAATGAGTTTGTTTAATTACTATTTTAGCCATATGACCATGAGATGTTTCCCTTACTTTTTTTTCTATTAGATTTTCTGGGGGACTCCACTCCTTGTCCAGGAATAACAAACTTGCATTTGCTTATCTGATTAATTCCAGTGCAAACCTGTGAGGTAGATTGTCATTGTTCTGGGGTGACAGATGGGGAATGGAGGTTGAGTTAAAAGCCCACTCAAGACCGCCCATCTCGTCCAGGAATTGCGAGGACAAATGTGGGTGGTTTATCTTTAGCATGTTGAAAATGCTTCTTACAAATATGGATTAGCTAGAAAAGCAAGATGCTATTCTGAAATCTTTTGCAAAATATTTAAGTTGGGTGGATAAATAGCAAAGTTTCAAGAGCTTTAGTTGCTATTCTTGACGTTAGCTTCTTTCACCCAAAGTATTTATTTATTATTACTTATTAAACAAATTTATATAGCTGCTCAACTCACACATAGGTGACACACCTATAGTAATCAGTGATCTCTACATTGAGGGTGAAGTTGCAAACCACTTTGCATTGTTACAAAATAAATTGTAATATAGTCTAATTGAGAATGAGACTGCTTTTGTTTTTGTTTTGTCTTTGTCTTGTCAGATTAAGAGTGGAAAACTGTTATAGCTGGACATGGATGTAAAAGTTTTGTGACTATGTGTCAGCTGATTAAGTTGCTGTAAAAAAATCTTCCTCAGCACAGCCCTTTTCATATTTGTCAGGTTCTCCAACTATTCTGTGTGGGGATTCTGACAATCAGACAGCAGCACACCAGGGCTCTGTATAAACAGATTTCAGTTAACAGTATTTGATGTTTATGTTGGGAGTGGGGGGCACCGTTCTACGGTGGTTCTCCTCCTATCTCTCCGACCGGACGCAGTCAGTGTTGGCAGGGGGGCAGAAGTTGACCCCGAGGCGCCTTGTGTGTGGGGTGCCGCAGGGATCGATCCGGTCCTCTCACCCCTTCTGTTCAACATTTATGTGAAGCCGCTGGGCGAGATCATCCGTGGCTTCGGGGTGGAATTCCATCAGTACGCTGATGACACTCAGCTGTACATCTCCACCCCAGGCCATCCCAACGATGCCCTTGAAGTGATGTCCCGGTGCTTGGAGGCCGTGCGGATCTGGATGGGGAGCAACAGGCTTCGACTCAACCCCTCCAAGACCGAGTGGCTGTGGCTTCCGGCGTCCCGATATAGCCAGCTGACGCCATCGCTGGCTATTGGGGGCGAGTTATTGGCCCCCACGGAGAGGGCTCACAACATCCCTCCTGGATGCACGACTGGCTTTAGAAGAGCATATGACGGCCGTGGCCAGGGGGGGCTTTTCATCAGGTTCGCCTGATTTGCCAGTTGCGTCCCTTTCTGGATCGAGACTCCTTATGCACAGTCACTCAGGCACTCGTCACTTCCCGCCTGGACTACTGCAATGCTCTCTACATGGGGCTCCCCTTGAGGTGCACCCGGAGGCTCCAGCTGGTGCAGAATGCGGTTGCGCGGGGGATTATGGGAGCGAGAGGGCGCTCCCATGTGACACCTCTCCTGCATGAGCTGCAATGGCTCCCGGTGGACTTCCGGGTACGCTTCAAGGTACTGGTTACCACCTTTAAAGCGCTCCATGCATCGGACCTGGGTATTTGCGGGACCGCCTTCTGCCACCAATAGGCTCCCACTGGCCAGTACGCTCCCACAGAGAGGGACTCCTCAGGGTGCCGTCAGCTAGGCAGTGTCGGCTGGTGACCCCCAGGGGGCCTTCTCTGTGGCAGCACCTGCCCTCTGGAACGATTTGCCCCCAAGAGATATGGAGGATATCAGATCTCCGGGCTTTTTGTCGCGCCCTAAAAACTTTTCCATCAAGCAGGGCTGGTGTGAACCCCACCCCACCCCCCACCCCCGTTTTTGAGATATTAGATTTTTAATTGTTTAATGGGTTTTAGTCGTAAGGGTCTTAATTTTTGGCCAAAGGGTATAATTCTTTTAAATTTTTAAATTTTGTATTGGATGTTTTTTTACTTGGCTGTGCACCGCCCTGAGTCCACCAGGAGAAGGGCGGTATACAAATTTAAATAAAATAAAATAAAATAAAATAAAATAAAATAAAATAAAATAAATAAATAAATAAATAAAATAAATGTTTTGAGGAAGCTTCCTGGATTTAGTTGCATGCTTCTTGACTATTTCTCATGTGTAGTTCTCCTAACATGATTGTCGTTTCATAGTTCTATGTTTCATCTTTACCAAAAAAAAGCCCATTGTGAGGCAGATGGTTTCTGTTCTATGTATGAAATTTGAGGACAAGAGATTTTGTAAAGGCCATTCCAATTAACAACATATAGCCATTGAATCAAAGCTCAATGCCTGACTACCGATCTTTTGTCTTCAGTTTTCTGTTATATTTTGATAGGAGTGGTATGTCATGTCAGCTTTATTTATCTTAATGTTCCATTATGGCCTGTTCACATTAAACTTCTTAGAAATACCATTCACTAAAAGGACCAGGGATTTGAATTTACAGTTGTCATGATTCTCCAGGCATTTAGAATAAGTAAACAAGGTTGCCTGCCAATTAAGTATGGGCAGTCCTCGACTTACAACAGTTCATTTAGTGACCATTCAAAGTTACAAAGGCACTGAAAAAAGTGACTTAGGAGCATTTTTCACACTTAATGACCTTTTAGCAACCCCATGATCATTTGAGCAAAATTCAGATGCTTGGCAACTGACTCATATTTATGATGGTTGCAGTCTCCTGGGCTCATGTGATCCCCTTTTGCGACCTTCTGACAAGCAAAGTCAATGGGGAAGCCAGACTAACTTAACAACTGTATTACTAACTTATCAACTGCAGTTATTCACTTAACAACCGTGGCAAGGAAGGTTGTAAAACGGGGTAGAACTCGCTTAACAAATGTCTCCCTTAACAACAGAACTTTTGGGCTCAGTTGTGGTCATAAGTCGAGGACTGCCTGTAGTCTTCAGAGGCTGAAATCCTGTCTTCTAAGCTAGAGGCAAGTGGTTATTAGAGAAAAGATACATGTAGTCCTCACTTAGCAACCATTTGAAGTCACAACAGACCCCCAAAAAGGTACTTACTGTATGACCTGGATTTGAAGTCGAGATGTCCTCACACCATCTCATTTGGGGCACTTGGCAACTAGCCTACATTTATAGCCATTGGCAGCATCCCAGGGTCACATGACCGCAATTGATGATGTTTTATTTTTTTTGCTGGAAACTAGTGTTTACCTTTGGGTTTTGGCAAAAAAAATGATGGGTTCACTTCATGACTGCAGCATTCATTTAATGGCCATATTTGCTTAATGACTACCACAAAATAATGTCATAAAATCCGAACAGTCACATAATGACCTGCTTAACGACTGGCATGACTGTTGCCCATCATTTGGGCTCAGTTACACTTATAAGTCAAGGACGACCTGCATTATTCTATGTTAATGCCCAAACTACAGAGTTTTCTCGGCAGACAGAAACTGCTGAGAACTGAAAATTTGTATGCTTTTATTTATTTATTAATAATTAATTAATTAATTAAGGGACATGGTGGCTCAGTGGCTAAGACGCTGAGCTTGTCAATTGAAAGGTCAGCAGTTCAGTGGTTCGAATCACTAGTGCCGCATAACGGGGTGAGCTCCCATTACCTGTCCCAGCTTCTGCCAACCTAGCAGTCCGAAAGCACGTAAAAAATGCAAGTAGAAAAATAGGGAACACCTTTGGTGGGAAGGTAACAGCGTTCTGTGCACCTTTGGCATTCAGTCATGCCGGCCATATGACCACGGAGACGTCTTCGGACAGCGCTGGCTCTTCGGCTTTGAAACGGAGATGAGCACCACCCCCTAGAGTTGGGAACGACTAGCACATATCTGCGAGGGGAACCTTTACTTTTACTTTATTTATTATTTAAATAGGATTTATATAGCTGCTCACTTGGGATGCAATTTTAAGCGGCTAACAGAAGGTTGAAAACATAAAAGGTAAATAGAAATCCAAACACCTCCCACACCAGAGACAGCTCACTTGTAAAGGTTGATGTGCTGTCCTGACTCAGAGCCTGAGGGGAAATGGATCTTCAATGTCTTTTTGAGGAGGTGCTGTTGCATAGGGCAGTCACGATGACACTGAAAACAAATCTCCTAGGTTCCATTGAATGACACTGCTTGGGATCTGATGCATGCCAGTCATGGTATTGCTGGATAGGCAGAGATGGGCCTACAAATATTTTGAAGGGCTTTGAAGGTGACACTTAGCATCTTAAGTTACCCTTGGCAGTTTGGCTACTGCTTTTACTATTATTTATTTATTTTATTTATTTTATTATATTTCTATACCGCCCTTCTCCTGCGGGACTCAGGGCGGTGTACAGCCAGGATAAAACATAGCATATAAAATTTAAAAACATTTTAAAAAACAATTAAATAAATTTTGGCCCGAATTTAAAACAACCCTATTAAAACTGAAAATTCGATTAAAAAACTGAGAGGATGGGATCAAGCCAGCCCAGCTAGATGGAACAAGTGTGTCTTCAGGGCCCGACGAAAAGTCCAGAGGTCTGATATCGTGCGTATCTCAGGGGGCAGGTCATTCCAGAGGGCAGGTGCTGCCACAGAGAAGGCTCTCCCCCTGGGGGTCGCCAGCCGGCACTGCCTGGCCGACAGCGTCCTGAGGAGGCCCTCTCTGTGCGAGCGAACCGGTCGGTGGGAGGCTATTGGCGGCAGAAGGCGGTCTCGTAAATACCCCGGCCCTAAGCCATGGAGCACTTTAAAGGTGGTTACCAACACCTTGAAGCGCACTCGGAAGACCACAGGAAGCCAGTGCAGCTCACGCAGGAGAGGGGTTATATGTGAGCGCCCCGTCGCTCCCATAATCCCCCGCGCAGCCGCATTCTGGACCAACTGCAGCCTCCGGGTGCACCCCAAGGGTGGTTTCATTGCATTTGTTGCTTCTATATAAAGAGATGTAATATTTAGGTCAGAAGCTAGTACAGGTAGTCTTCAATGTACAACTATTTGTTTAGTGACTGTTTAAAGTTACAACAGCACTGAAAAAAGTGACTTATGACCATTTTTCATATTTATGACCATTGCCGCATCTCCCTGGTTACATGATCAAAATTTGGATGTTTGGCAACCGGCTCATATTTATGATGGTTGCAGTGTCCTGGGCTCATGTGATCACCTTTTGCAACTTTCTGACAAGCAAAGTCAGTGGGGAAGCCAGATTCATTGAACAACTGCAGTGGTTCACTTAAGAACTGTGATAAGAAAGGTTGTAAAATGGGGCAGAATTTACTTAACAACTGTCTCGCTTTAGCAATAGAAATGTTGGGCTCAATTATGGTCGTAAGTCAAGGATTACCTGTATATAAAAGCTACACACGTGTGCATACGTGCCCAGTTTCAAAGAATATCTAAACGTAGTGAGGAAACGGACAGGGTAGTCATACTATTGTATTCGCAGAGGTTATCTCAGTATAAAATAAAATTGGAGTGCTGGTTTATTTTTCCCATTTCTACAGTTGGATTTGATCACAGATCTTTTGGGGACACCGTCACTGGAAGCAATGAGGACAGCTTGTGAAGGCGCCAAGGCTCACATACTCAGGGGTCCTCATAAACAGGTAGAGTGATTATTTTCTAATTTGGAGAGTTTGGTACTGCAAAGCCTTTTAGTTATGTGCTGACAACTTTTAATTTTCAGTCTAAGAGCAATACCGGATTGGGATTTATACTGGGACAATCACAAAGCAATTTATCTCAGCTATACATAACTGATACTTAATATGTCATGCTCTCTATTTTTTATGGAAGTTAAAATTTTGATGAGAGAGTAGGTGTGGCTGTTTGGCCTAAGGAGAGTGGAGCTGTTATATGTAATACTAGAAAGACAAGCTAAGGAAAAGAAATCTTTTGCATTCCTGGGCATTAAGTACAGCCTATGAACCAATTACAATGAGGCTAAATTAGACTTAAATGACCCACTTACCTTAGTTTGGAAAGCTGCTACCAGGAACCTAATTTTAGCCATAACGTCAATTTCTTTTACCACCTCTTGTTTTGGGTATTTCAGCCAAAAGTATGAAATCAAATATATTGACTGGAGTTAATAAAATAGATGTATAATATCTATTTTAGGATGTCGCCCATTTTGTTTGAGTAACCATTGTTCCGATGGAACTTCTTCTCAACAGGAAGTTCTGATGGATAAGAATTGAAAATATTTGCAGTGCAAAAATACTCATTATATAAACCTCACTTCACAATGTGATGAAAACTGTATATACCAAAGTTTAAAAAACATAAGGACTAGAGTGATTTTTTTTTAGTGTGTTGGAAGAGGAAACCTGTGCTGCAATTTGAATTCTGTTTAGAGTTGTATGCATGCAGCAGGGCCACAGGTAATAGTGATGTGGAATTATACTCAAGGTTTTCTCAGTTACTCTTAACAGAAGGGAGTACTTTGTATATGGAAATGCAGTGGAGGGGCAAGAAATGAGAGATGGAAATAAAGTCTTTATTTTTTCCAAAATTCCATGCTATTTCAGAGTTGTTCTAAGGTCTTGTTATAATCACCTGGTATAAGCTGGTCAGATTTGCAATTCCTGGAAACATAGCCTTAAATCACTGCATACAGTGTGTCCCAAGATCAGCTGATGGATTTTCCAATTTAAAAAGTACTACTAATAAAGATTTACTGTATTTTTAGTCACAATCAACAGTCTTGGCCTAACACAACTTCATATGACATAGAACTGGTATAGAACAACTGTAATATTTGTGAAACCCGATGGGATCCTACTATCACCCTTCCAGAATAGTCCTTCTCATGGTGTCCTTATGGAAAGCATCCTGTGAAACCTTTTATAAATCTTAGCTTTGTTCTATAATGCTAACTAGCATCTAACCTTTTCTGTTAATATTGTTATATAAATAGATAAGGCAAAAGCTTGATTGCTTAGTTTTATTTCAAACTGAATATGTGTTGGTTCTTGGTTAGGTATAAAATATTCCTCCCACATATCAATAAAAATTAATCATCTGCCAATAATAGGAGAAAAATTATGTAATCATTTCTTCCTTGCTTCTAGTGGCTTTTCCCAACTCATGCACATGTTAAATCTACAATGCTTTCCTTTTTAGAATTTGCATAGGAAATCAGGGTTTTTTAGAAGGACCACACTAAGAAAATAATAGTGTAGGAAGTGATGGAGAACAACCAGCTTCTAATATGCTTTCTTTTTTTTCTAACAAAAAAACAAACAAACCACAAGACAGCTTTTACATTTGCATAAAGAGGTTAGATCTATTTTTAGTTATGAATATTCCTTTTGAATTTTAGAGGTCATTTTTTTCTCTCTTCATTCTAATGTAAAGTTCATTAAGCCCTTTAAGGCTTAACCTCTCTGTGCACTTACTTCACTTACTTAGGAACAACTAAGTCAGTGAGTGTCATAGGGTCAAACAGCTAGAACAGTAGAGAGGGCCCCTGTCCATAATGCTTCCCCATCCACTATCTTCATCTCAGGTCCATGTTAGGAATTCTAGGAATTTGTTTTTTAATTCTTATTTATGAAATTTATTTGCTGACCATTTTGTGGTTCAGGTGACTCTGACTGGCTTACATCAAGATAAAACAACATATAACAATTATAAATATAAAATGAATTAAAATTACAAAAAATAGAGCAATTAAGTTTTATTTTTAATCTGCTTCCCTGGAAGAGCTTGCTGGACTTAACCTAACCTGTTTTGCTGGAAAAGCTTGCTAGACTAACTTGTCCTCTTCATTCATTTTCAAAACAGTTTTTAAATCATCATTTAAAAAAAAAAACCCCAGAACAGAATGTATTCAGTAATTTTAGCCATGATTCAGAAAAGACAGTGTTGCATTTTGGCATCTCAATTATTCCTATGACGCTCAGTGCTTTTTCTCTTTCTTTTCACAGCCATCCCTTCCTGTCCTGTATACATTATCCAGCCAAGCTACACATGAAGCCGTTCATCTCCTTTGTAGGATGTTGGTCTTCGATCCAGTAAGTTGATGCTTTGTGTTATATACTTAAAATAGAAAAGGAGGAGGGGTGGTGATAAATACAGCAAAATATATATCATGGTCCGTAAAGTATGCAGAAAAGACTTGAGAAGCACATGGCAAAGAACAGGAAAAAATATCCAAAGATGTGTCAGAGGAAGATAGAAAATAGAAAAATAGCAGAATGACTTAATGAATTCTTGGTTCTGTCCTCAATGCTGAGGGCATAGGACAAATATTAGTGGAGTCTTTGGTGCTGTCTGAGTTTTTCCATGTCATTCTTGTAGCTTGTCATTTTTAAATCCACATTGAAATCGATTTCAGTACTGCATTATCTCTTTTCTATAACACCGTTTACACATCATCTATGATGACAGACATTCTTAAAATCAACTTCTGAGTCAATTGTTCATAAATACCCTTCAAAATGTCCAGAGTTAAAGTATTGCTCCATTCTACATTCTCATTAAGTATTCTTCTCCTTTAATTGTGATCTTTCATTTCTTCTAGTTCGCTCTAGTGTCCAACTTTCAAAGTCCTATCTTATCATCATTTTTTCTAAGGAATCCAAACAACAGCAATTTCCCACGGGAAAGATTCTTATAATTATATATTAATTATAATTCTTATAATTAATTTTTTTTTTTTTTAATTTGATTTATATGCCGCCCTTCTCCGGAGACTCAGGGCGGCTTACAATGCGTTAAGCAATAGCCTTCATTCTTTTGTATGTTTTATACAAAGTCAGCTTATTGCCCCCACAAACTGGGTCCTCATTTCACCTACCTTAGAAAGGATGGAAGGCTGAGTCAACCTTGAGCCTTGGAGAGATTCGAACCAGCAGAAATTGCAGGCAGCTGTGTTAATTACAGGGTGCACTAAACCCCTGTACTATCAATTTCAGGTCTTATTTCAAATCCATCTGGATCCTTAGCCCATTTTTAACTTTCCAAAATCAACACTTGTTGTTAGTTGCAAAGTCGTGTCCGACTCATCCCGACCCCATGGACAACGTTCCTTCAGGCCTTCCTGTCCTCTACCATCCTCTGGAGTCCATTTAAGCTCACGCCGACTGCTTCATTGACTCCATCCAGCCACCTTGTTCTCTGCCGTCCTCTTCTTCTTTTGCCCTCAGTCTTTCCCAGCATGAGGCTCTTCTCCAGTGAGTCCTTCCTTCTCATTAGGTGGCCAAAGTATTTGAGTTTCATCTTCAGGATCTGGCCTTCTAAAGAGCAGTCAGGGTTGATCTCCTCTAGGACTGATCCAGAGTACATGTGTGCAAACTCATGATCTCTCCTTTCCCTGGAGAGATTTATGCCAGCCACAATCCATCCAACCATCAGTCTCCGCCATAAATATCATCCCACACTCCTTCAGGCAATCTAGCTTATCCTGTCTTCACTAGAAGTCTTCCTGAAGCAATATTTAAGATCCAGCTCTACTGAATGAAAATTGGAAAGATAAAATTACAATTGTGTACTAGCATAGGCACTAGAAGATGATAAATAGGTCCAGATTCTTACTTGTGGGACAAGGAAGTAGTTATAGGTAAGACTATATAGTTGGGCTCATAATACTTTGCCTCCTATTACTTTGGCAATAAAAGAGACTACAGTAAAGAAAGGAAGTCCCCTTTTTGTGTCTGTCATACATGAACTATTAATTTAGTAGCAAAAGAAAGATTTTAATTGACTCCATTCTTTTACATTATTGGAGTTTGGACACGTTGTATTTGCAATTTCCTCTTACTATCTTGTTTATGAACTCCCAAATTTTATCTGCACTTCTCCAGTGAACGCATTTTTTAAGATATTCACAAAGATTGAGCATATCTGCCTCTCTTTAAGACAGGTGGTCCATATTTTCAACCAGGTGGCCTCAAAGGGGAAGAAGGATTCTTTTTTCTGAGGAAGTTTGATGACTCCATCTCATAAATCCCATGTCACTGGAAGCTGTGTTGTAGCTGTGTTGTCATATTTGTTCGCCTGTGTGGCCACCTGCCAAGTTGCAGCAGGTTCACTTACCCACCAGTTATTCTTGCGGGAATGGCATGCCTTCTTTATTGGGGTTGAAACCTTTGCACCAGACTTCTCTTTTTTCCTCTTTCGGTGAAGCTTTCTCCAGCATGCTGCCCTTCAGATGTCTTGGACTTCTGCTCTGAACAGCTATGCTGAAAAGCATCAACATTCATTATATTCACAAACTTACCTCATGAGAGAAATCCTTTAGCTTTTGCCATACTCATGGAGGAGCAATTCACAGAAAAAGGAATTGTTCTTCTCTGAAAACTCTGTTTCATCTGCAGACCTAGAAAGGAAAAATGTAATGTCTGTTTCCCTGAGAACAGCCCTGGCAGGAAGAGATGGGGTGAACTCTTTAAAGAGATTGGGAATCTTCTTTATCTCTCCTGCCTCTCATAGGCAGTCAGTTTATTTTTCAGAATAAAGGCTGTTTTAAAGCTGTGAAGAACTGAACTGTATCTTTGGGGCAGAAAAGGCCTATTATAAAGCCAAATTCTACTTTCTTATCTATTTTCTCAGTATTCAGGATAATGAATAATTCCATGCCTTTATTTGTGCAGCTCACTATACTACATTTCTACATTCACATCAGCCTCAGGCTTTGCACAAAGTGTTACATATTGGTAGCAGTCTTGCACAAACATCCCTTTTCAGAGCTTTAGTCTTTTGTCTTTTGTAGCATTTTTTGGAGACCGCAAAGGTCAGATCCTACAACTTGATCTTTCCATGAGTCTCTTAAGCTGTGGCTGCTTACAGTTCAGCAATTTATCACATTCTTGATGGCAGATGATCTGCCAGGCAATTATAATGTTCTCTTACAGCCAGTTCTCCCTGCATTCCACATGGTGTCCCAGGTGATAATCATGATAGAATTTCTCAAATAAAGCGTTAATAGTCAAATGTGGTGCAAAAATGAGCAGGAAATATCATAGCTAAGAGGTAGAGCATATATTTTGAATGCAGAAGGCAGCAAAGTTCATTCCTACTATGCCAATTCTCATCCTCTTTTTAAAAGAGAATGGCGTAACAATATACAGGTAGTTCTCAGCTGTGCTGACCAGAGCCTAGGCCTGAACATAGAGGGACAGAACATGACACTGGTACCAGACACTGAGGCATCTTCCCCCAAAAGGCCCACTCTCTGTCTCCCATCAAAACATCCCATCTGTCACCACCTGAATGTACTGACTTGCCCTAAGCCCTCCAGTGCATTCCTTTTCTCCCACCAACTTGAGCCTCCTGACTCCCCTGGTTAGGGACCCCTTCATCCACTCATATGACTCAGCCACCCTTCTACCAGCCCAGGGGATAAAGCTGAGCCCCAGCTTTGCTTTAGCTCTCACTCTTAGCACCATCAAGAACCCTAGGCCATTATTAAGAAGTGAAATTCTGGAGAGGCCAAGAAAAAATGGTTAAAAGGGGAAGAATAGTGGAAAGGAGGAAGGGAAATAAGGTATATATTAGTAGATCTAAGGGAACTGTAGTAACTGAATGTAAAAAGTAAATATGATGATGTATATTGTGTATTGTAAAATGAACAGCAGATGAAATATGAAGTGGTAATTTGGTTCAATAATGAAAATAACTGAAATCAAGAGATAAAATTGAAATGTAAAAAAGTGTGATGGGGATTTTGAAAATTATGTTGTAAATAAAATGAAATAAAATAATTGATGTTATAATAAGGAATTAAGGGTGGATTGTGATATTGCTTATTATGTACTTAGAAGAGATTAAGATAAGATGTGGAAGGTCAATTAAGTTAAAGGGTTTCAAAGTAAAAATTTAATAGGATGAAGTACATTGTTTATAGCCAAAAAATGTGATGGGGATTTTGAGAAATATACTTTATAAATGGAGAAATAAGATAATTAATTGAAGTAATGCTAAGAAATTAGGATTTGAAGGGCAGATGGTGATATTGATTATATACTATGTATTAAGAAGAGGTCAAGATAAGATCAAAAAAGGAGGGAAAAAGAATATCATGGCAGAAATTGAAATATGTAAATTGTATTTGGAAAAAACAAAAAAGAAGATTGAAATAGATTATAAAAATCAATATATAACTATGTTATAAGTTGTATAAGATGTGACCCGGTCAATACTCTGTTCATAAAATATGTAATATGTAAAAGAAAAATTTAATAAAACTTGTTCAAAAAAAAAAAAGAACCCTAGGCCACTGACCCCACTCCCATCCAACTGTTACTAAATTAAAGGTAAAGATTTCCCCTTTCTAGATGTGACCGACTCTAGAGGGTGGTGTTCAGAGGTGGTATTCAGACGGTTCACACCGGTTCAGGCGAACTGTAGCGGCAATTTGGCCTTGGTCACTGAACTGGTAACGAATTCTGGCTGGCCACGTCCCCCATCCGGTCGCTGCTCACTCACCCCACCCACCTGGTCGCTGGAAAAAAATTTTCCTACCGGGTTCTGTGGATGTGGCTTGGTGGGGGGGTCATATGACTGAGTGGGCATGGGCGTGAGTGACGTCAAGTTGGCCATGCCCACTCAGTTATATGACGCCCCCCCCCAACCAGGCCACGCCCACAGAACCGATAGAAAAATATAAATCCCACCACTGGTGGTGTTCATCTCTTGTTTCTTAGCCAAGGGAGGTCCAAAAACATTATTGTGGTCATGGGGCCAGCATGACTATACGCTGAGACATACAGAGCCCTGTTATCTTCCCACCAAAGTTGTACCTATTTACCTACTTGCATTTGGATGCTTTCGAACTGCTAGGTTGGCAAGAGCTGGGGCAAGTAACAGGAGCTCACCCCGTCGCACAGCATTCGGGTCTTGAACCCAAGGCTGATAGCTTTCCAGTTGATAAGTTCAGCCTCTTTAAACACTGAGCCATCACACCCTCTAAGTTAGCAGTATTTAAATATAAAAAGTTTTTCTAGGTGATGATAGGCTTATGTGTGCCTCAAAAATAATTTCAGTAGAGCACTTTGGCCTTCCCATGAGCACAGCAGTCCTCTGCTAATCATTAATGTCAATTCATGCAATTACTCTTGAAACAGATCCAGGTTTTTTTTCAGGGTTGCATGGAAACCTGTGAAAAGGCAGGCTCCTTTAATGACTAGCTGGGAGGTGCTCTAGCTTTGCTGGTGATTTGTGCTCCAGGGGCCAAAGGAATACTGTTTTCAACTTCATTTCTGAAATGGCAACAAAAGTATTGGCTTTTTAATAGTTGGTTCTATATAAAACAGGTTCAGGGCAGACAATGATAACTTCTTATTGAAATACATTAGTCTGTGGTAAAATATTAAATGTTATTCTGCTCTGAAATACAGCCGCTATTCTTTGATGGGTTTATCATAGTTAAATTGGGGGAGAAACTAGGACTGAGAAACACCAGTTCACACGCTTCCTAAAATGCATGTCTTCCTTTGAAGCTTTCTCTCCCTCTCTTAGAAAATCACTATAAAAATTCTAGCAGCCTCACCAAATCGCATTTCCATATCAATTGCATAGCACCTGCAGGTAGAAAAAGAGCCTACTTTCTTTCTTCTCTCACTGTTCAGTCCCCTTTTGGTATGGCAACTGGAAAATCCGTTTCTATCACACCTGGTTCTCCCTCTGTATCTGCCAGGTACCTCAGCTGATCTGGGTCTGCCTGAACAGCAGTTGACCACAACTGGCAACAAGGGGTGGTTTGGGGTGAAGCAGGCAAAAAGGACTGTTGTATGGGTAGCGAAGCAGAGCAAGTTTTGACAGATAGCTAAGCCCAACTGTCTTTCTACAGCCTAGTTAGGAGAGAGGTTGGTGGATGTCTTGCCAGCTCTCTCATTGACTTTGGTGGAAGGGAATGGAAGCAACACCCTGAGTCATGTATCAGTGAGAGGGGTAGCAGATAAAGCATATCAGTGCCTACTTAACATGTCATGTACCCTGTAAATAGAGTTAGTGCTGTTTGCTGATATGTAAATAAATAAATACACTCTTGCCATGTAAAAAAATAGTTCAGTTACAGCAACACTGACTTTTTCAAGTGAACACTGCCTCCTAATGGTTTCACTTATCAAATGTGAAAGTTAGAAAAAGATTATCACGGAGTTTGTTATCTCTCTACATGCATATATGTATATGATAAACTAAAATCTATATGCAACAATAATTTGCATTTTTCTGTATTCAGTCCAAAAGAATATCCGCTAAGGATGCCTTAGCTCATCCATATCTTGACGAAGGGCGATTACGATATCACACCTGTATGTGCAAATGTTGTTTTTCCACTTCTACTGGAAGAGTTTACACCAGTGATTTTGAACCCATCACAAATCCTAAATTCGATGATACTTTTGAAAAGAACCTCAGTTCTGTCCGGCAGGTTAAAGGTCAGTATTTTAAACTGAGAGATAATATCCTTTGCACTATTTAGCAATAATGTACACTTAGGATAAATATACATTTCTATCATTTATATATACATATTTGTTTGCTTAATAACTTGTATCTCATTAAACCAGAAAAAGGGCAGTACATCAATTCTTCAGTAGTTTGCATGGAAAGAATATGTTAGATGGGAAATCTGAAATATTTATGAAATGAAAAGAAATGTCACAATTTCACAATCACAGATTGCTGAAAGTTTATATTTTATATTTTAGGTTAGTCCCTTTCTCTCAGCCCAACCAAACATATCAGGTTGTTGCTGTGGAGAAAATAGGACACAGTATTAGGTATGTCACCATGAATTATGCAAAATAGAGCAGGTTATAAAACTAATAAATAAATATACAAAACTTTTATTTTTCCTTAAGCATAAAGACTAATTATCATTTGTACCCATGTGGTATGAGGGGAAAGAAAATCAGTTTGTGCAATCCTTGTGGGAAATTCCATCTGAATTAGACTTTTTGCATTTTATTACAATAAACTGATCCAATAAAGGAATTAGTATGCGTTAGAATGTGAACAAATGTATTGCAATTTTATAGCAGGTGTATTTCCTAAATGTACAGTATATATGCTGGTATTAATTTACTTACAGCATTTTCTATACTGCACTCCACAAGGAATCCCCAGTGACTTACAAATAGCTAAATATAAAATCTATAAAAATCTATTTGTGTCCTCGCCACAAATCCAATGTCTACTAGTAAACAATTTCCTGTTTTGTACAATTTGCATTGGAAAGCATGAATTCGGATTTCGTTTTTTTTTTTCTACTTTTTTCCAGAAATAATCCATCAGTTCATTTTGGAACAGCAGAAAGGAAATAGAGTACCTTTGTGCATCAATCCACAATCTGCTGCTTTTAAGAGCTTTATTAGGTAACTGTATGTAATCACTTCTGATATTCATTTATTTCCTTAATGGTGAAACGTTTTTTTAAAAAAAATCTTCTTTGAATTAAGGAGCCTTCCAGTAATATTACCTGCATGCCTGATTTGTTAAGAATGCTTTAACATTTTGAATGATAGATTTTTGTGGGATCCTTGGTGCTCTCTGAGTTTGATTGTTTTCTCATAGACATTTCACTACAGTACAGCATCATCAATGCTAGACCTCAAGTTCTGATGATGTTACTAGTTTGTTTTCTTGAAGATATTTCATTACCCATCAAGCACAGAGAGCATCAAGGACCCACAGTTCAACCCTGAGCTGCAAATGTTCTTCTACTGCTAGTTTTTATCTTAGCCAAAAGCAGCCAAAATGCAGCACAAAAAGAATGAAACAGTATGTTGCTGCCTTGGATTTTTTCACCTGTCTATAACCTCCTTTGGATGAATAAAGAAGTAAGAATTTTCCATTGCGGCTATTTCATCCCCTAGAACCAGCGATCCCTTAGCTTAGCAGATCACAGCCTGGTATTCAAGCGATTATCCTCCTGTCTAGTTGTAGAAGGAAGAGCGTTCAAGCTTCTGCATCATTGGTGGCGAATGGTGCAATATATATGGTAATTTGATGTAAGCAAAGAAAAAACACTCATTCCCTTAAAGCTTTAGAGTCTAAATTTGACCTTAGGCAAAAATAAACGTAGGAAAGTGAGGTAACAATGCAGTTTGTTTAATTTAGATGGGGGTGGGGGGGAATCTACATTCCATGGATAATTTCATGCAACCTTCAGCCTCATTTCACAATCCTTGTGCAAGAGAGAAAGAGGAAAGAGGGAGCTCCAATTATTTCAGTCCTACCCAGCACTACTCAGGAATATGATCTTTGACTTGTCTATCTCTGTTTAAATAACTATATCTCACTTTTAATTGGCTAAACCTCAAGACAGCTTATAATAAATTACACATAACGGAAGTGTACTTCAAAGTACTCTTATCTCATCAGCAGTTGGTCCTTTCACAATAGCTGAGGACACTAGGCCTAATTCTAATGATAAAATTTGATATTAATTGTTGTTGAGGTCTAAATGCAAAGCTTCACAAAACAAGTGGGAGGAGAATTATTTAAATACCCGAGAACCAAAGTGGTTCCATTTAGAATCTTTAAATTAGAGTTCTGTCCTAAGAGGGAAACAAAAAGAATGTAGGCAGAGACAAGAGGGAGTTTTCCTAAGATAAAATATATGGAAAGAATGAAGATACCGAAGGAAAGAACATAAAATGGATGTTACATGCCCTAACCCCCAAAATATTAGGGGACCAACTGAGTTTTGATCAGAGACAAGAGGACTGAACTGTGATAGTTAACCAACTAACAAACAGAGGGCTTAACACATTCTAAAGCCCAGGCTCAGGTACATAGCCAAGTTTTTAAAGCTTTACAAAAAAAAACCCAACAGGGTTGGGGGATTATTCTAATCTCGGAAGGGAGAGTATTCTACAGCAGAGAAGGCTTGTCTTGTAGTTTTTGCCCATCAGCCCTCTTTGCCTAATGGGCTCAGCAGCATGGCCAGTCCAATTGGACAGGTAGAGACACGTAGAAAAAGACAATCCCTCAGGTAACCTGGTTCCAAGCCAGTTAGGGCTTTAAAGGTGAAAACCAGGACTTAGAATTTCACCCAGAAGCACAATAGTAGCCAGTGCAGCTCACATAGTAGTGGTGTTACTTGTGCCATGTATCCAGCATCATTTACTGCCCGCACAGCTACATTCTGCACAGGGGTGGGTTTCACTTTACCTTTACCACTGGTTGGCCCTGTGCGCGCATACTTGCTTCACGTGCGCGTGAGCTGTCCGTGCATGTACCCTGCCTTCCACGCATGCACTTTGCTCACTCGCGCACCTTCCACGCATGCACCCAGCCTCGAAAATGTGCCTAAATAGCACGACTTGGAGAAGGGGCGGTTGGGCGGGCCCACTGCGATCGATACTACCGGTTCGCCCCACTGAATACCACCTTTGATTCTGCACCAATTGAAGTTTCCGAATGCTCTTCAAGGACAGCCCCGTGTAGAGAGCATTGCAGTAATCTAAAACATTGCTGCACGTTGCAGTGCAGAGGTAGGTTGCAGCAGGTTCTGACCAGTTCTGGATAACCGGTAGCGGAAATTTTAAGTAGTTCAAAGAATCAGTAGTAAAAATTCTGACTGGCCCCACCCCCATCTATTCTCTGTCTCCCAAGTCCCAGCTGATCGGGTGGAAATGGGGATTTTGCAGTTTCCTTCCCCTAGAGTGGGGTGGAAGTGGAGATTTTACAGTATCCTCCTTCCCCAGCTATGCTCACCAAGCCACGCCCACCAAGCCATGTCATGCCCACCAAGCCCCACCCACAGAACCGGTAGTAAAAAAATTTGAAACCCACCACTGTTGCAGTAATCTTAGGAAGAAAAGAGGGAAGAGCCTTACTTAGCCCCAAGACGTCTTATTTTCTCTTAAGCTTCTGCTTTCATTCCCCTGTGGTGAAAACAGAAACTTATCTTTCTTTTTCAAGCTTCAGTTTCTAATCCTGCTGAGTTGGAAGGGCTTCCGGTTTCATGGCAATTTTTTAAAATTGGATTTATGATTAAATGTGTGTGTTCTTAGCATTGTCTCTGCCCCTCCAACCTCTTGAGAGGGAAAGTTGATCTTCTCTGTTTCTTGCTTTCTAGTTCCACTGTTGCTCAGCCGTCTGAGATGCCACCATCTCCACTGGTCTGGGAATGAAAGTGGGAGATACAGTATACTACTGAAGACATAATGTAGCTTTCCACTGGATTCTGGGATTTGCAATTCTGGAGATTTAATCATGCTTGTACTGTAATTTTACTAATGAAGTTTTAAATTAACAACCACTATCCTTGTATGTTATACAAATAAGAGTTAGAAAAAATGTTAACTAGGCTTTTAAATCCTGTCAAAGGTGGGGTTGTGCTTTTAGGAAAAAAATATATATATTTTATCCAGGGTTGCACTTTTTTTTTTTTTTTAAATTTATGAATTGTAGTGCAGCTGTGAATCTTGCTTGGCTCGGAACAACAACAACGACAAAAAAGATTGAACCTTTTTTTTTTTTCTTCAGTTTTAAAAGTGAAATTGTATCAAAGGACAAGCTATTTTGATATTGAGCCATTCCTGAAGAATTGGGACTTTTGCTTGAAAAACAAAACAGGGAATACAAAACTTAAATCATGACCAATCATAAAGCCTCATCAGAGGGCAGTGCCCAAGCGTGGGAGGGCAACGTCACCTGGTGGTCACATCCATCTCCATAGCTTCTCAGTAGCGAAGTGCTGATGATGCCTGTGTGCTGTTTTCCAGTCTGATTTTGTGAGTAGAGAGAATGAGTTTTGACTAGGAGAGAAAAGTGTCTTTTCCTTTGAACCCTTCCCAAGTTATAAATAAATATATATAAATATATATATTTAATCTATTTTTATTAGAAGCTTTTTCTGCTCTTTTTCTTACATGAACCATCCCTTTCCCTTCCCTTCCCTCTGCCCCAGCACGCATTCCATTGGGGGGCTAATATTTCATAAAAAATCTTGATATCCATTGCCATGGAGAGAAAGAGAGCGAGCGAGAGAACGAGAGAGAGAGAAGTGCGCATGAGAAAGTAGTTTACACATTTTTAGATCTGTGAAACTTTGTGATTTTTTTTTTTTTAAATCCTGCACTGGACAGTTGGACGAAAAAGAAATGAAAAAAATAGTGGGGGAAAGCACATAGGGAATTATGTTAATTGTATTTGTGTCATTAGGCAAAGCTGTGGAAGTCTTGAAATGTCACAGTAGTAAATAACTTTTATTACTTTTTGGCTAATTCCTTTTTGTGTGTGTTCTGTTCAAACACTGAATTATTCTGTGCATATGTATATATATATATGAACACAAATTGAAGGCCTCTACCTCCTGGAAGTATACAACATGGCTTGTTTACCTCCACCTGATATTTTTTTTTTTTTTTTTAGTCCAGTGTGGAGACTTGAAACTTGAATGTCCCTTCCAACTTTTATATTTAAAAAAGGCAAGAAAAATTGAAGACTGTTTTTCAACTGTACAAAGAAATAACGAATGGATGGTCTCGAATTTTTGAATGTTGGTCTGGGATATTAAAAAAAAAATAAGAGAAACCTTGGTGTTTGTCATGGACAATTAACTGTTAAAGTTATTGTAAGTTATCTGTATTTAGCAGAGTATTTTCAGGAAGGGTGATTTGAGTTGGAACTGGATTCTATTAATTTACGTTTTTGGAAGTTTTAACTTCAATGAAGTAGTCATTTTGCTGGGGAAAAAAAAGACAAATTTTGAATTTCTCAAACAAAGATGATGAAATATCTTTGTTTTTTTGTGTGGCTCCTGAGAACTTAAAGCAAACAAAACCAACTGCAACACTTCAATTAACTTGAATGAGAATCGTCTTTTTAACTTAAAAAGAGCCCATGAAGACACTGGTATGAAAGGTAAAATCTCAGAGGTTGGTCTGTTAAATGTGGCACACTTGCGGGTCACTTTGTACAATGTAGATTTTGAAGTACAGTGGTGAAAACATTAAATGTGACATTTGAAACAAACAAGCAAACAAACTTCCGTGCCTATGTTGTTATTGTTGTTTTATCTTTCTACTGATTTGAGGCATGCAACTCATTAATAACGGATTTGTACTCTTCCAAGGATCTGTTATATGAAGTTGCATTTAAAGAAGGCCATTGAGGAGTCACAGAGAGCCGGTTAAATAACTGGAACCTCTGACTACTTACATTATGACTGACACTCCAGGGTTGGCAACTAAATGTAGCTACAGGACTGAGAGTAAGGTTGCATTTTCCATATTAACTGAGGTGAGAATTCTAGAGCTTTCTTCACTCATGGGCAGTAGGTTTTCAACTCAAGGGCTAGACATCACGCTTTTGAGAAGGATTCAGACAAAGAAGAAGACAGTTATAGAAATAAACATGGACAATGAGGGAACAAGAAGCTAAATTCAAAGAGAAAATAAAGGAGCTGTGGTGTTTAGCCCTGAATAAAGAGGAGTGTCCTCTTCAGAGACCTCTCATTTGTAAAGGGGCAAAAGCTTAGTCAGTAAATATACTTATTTTAACTGAGAGAGGAAGCGCTAAATTCTTGCCACTGTGCCCAACTGGTTTCAAAACTATTATTTAGCAATGCTTTTTCCAAGCAATTTTTATTAAAATATATAAGCTTATCCTTCTGATTTTGGCTACTATAGACCAGAGGTGAAATGCTCCCGGTTCGGACCAGATCACCCAATCTGGTAGCGATGGCGGTGGGTGGTTCGGAGAACCGGTAGCAAAAATCCCTGCACCCCCCCATACCCAGCTGAGCTGCGCAATCATCAGAGGCTGTTTTTTTTTACTTTTAAAAGCATTTTTTCTACAACCTCTTCGGCCAATTTGTATCTTCCTTTATTTAGCAAACTAATCTTTTACCCTCTTCAAACATTTTTGTGCAATAATCATACAAAACAATACTAGTTCCTTAAAACCTGCGTATTTTATAACAGTCCTATAAAATTAATGGCTCAGAGTATTTTTCCTATACAGATCGAGTCCTAAAATGAAAAGAAAGGAAGATTATGTTGGCTTATATCTTAATTTTTTCATTGCAGCAGCTCGTTGCTGCACTGTTGAGATTTTGGCTGATATCACCGTGATAGTCACACTTTTTCAGCTGTATGTGATATTGCTTTGCTAACACATTGTCAACTCTGCGAGATAAACTACAGAGATATATTTGCACCATATTAGAGGTAATATTGCAGTGGTACATTGGAGGCAAGTGGCATGTTAAGTAACGAGGACAAGTATGAAATGTAGAACCAATAATCTTTCATCAATCGATAAACTGTTAATGTAGCAACATGGAGAATAGTAATAGTAGCACTTAGACTTATATACCGCTTTGTAGTGCCTTACAGCCCTCTCTAAGCAGTTTAAAGAGTCAGCAGGTTGCCCCCAACAATCTGGGTCCTCATTTTACCAGCCTCGGAGGGATGGAAGGCTGAGTCAACCTTGAGCTGGTCAGGATCAAACTCCTGGCTGTGGGCAGAGTCAGCCTGCAATACTGCCTTCTAATCACTGCACTACCACGTTATAAGCCAGTATTAGAATGCTAATATTGGCTTATAACGCTAATAAGGGCAAATGAGAATCATGTGAATTATCGCACGACTGTCATCTCGAACAAAACATCCAAATGAACCCCATTAGATGGCAACATTAGCAGTTTCTACTGGTTTTTACTGCCATGTAGCAGTAATGGAAATTCTTGCAGGTTGGATATAGTAGCCCTATAAAAATACATACAAAATATTTTAAATAGGTTGAAAGCAATACAAAGCGTTCAAGTCTCTCAACATTTTAAAACCGGTTCTTTTCAGTAAAATGGCATCTCTGACCTTTTGATAAAACGTTAACTTGTTTAACAAAATTACTTCAGCTAAAAGGAGCATCTCTTAGTGTTTCTCCTTCCTTCTCAGACATCCAAGAGACCTCTTCTGCTGAGATATGTGCAGACTCCTTTAAAAACCAAAAAGGAGGTTTGATTATGGATGTGTTTTAGAGTGCAGAAGGAATGAGTTAATTTAAACAAAGCTACAATATTCTAAAATAATGCAGCCTCAGAAATGTAAAAGAAACACAGAACTCTTTCCATAAACTTCCTGTTGCGGCTGCTTAATTGTCGACTTGGTGCATTTTAAAAAGTGGGTCTGAATCAATTTTTCTGAATATGCTTCCATATCGACTGAAACTTGCCATGTTGATACTTCTCCAGCAGCATTGGCCACATCTCATTCTGCTAACTATATTCCACGTGATTTGGACTCCAGAATCCATAATTCCAAAGTATCCTCTAGAAAACAGCAACAAAATAACAGTGTATTGAGATCCAGTTAGGTCTCTTCCACCAGGAAGTTTCATTCAACTGTTGGCTAGACTTGATCTCCATCATCTAAGTCCTATGTTTCTCAACCTTGGCAAATTTAAGAGATGTGGACTTAAACTCCCAGAATTCTACTGGCTGTCCAGCCTTCCAGAATCCACTAACAATATTGAACAGCAAGTCAACTTCGGACTTCCCAAACTTGTCAACATTTTTAACCTACATGATGGAGGGGGTGTCACGGGTGAAATCCAGCAGGTTCTGACAGGTTCTGGAGAACCAATAGCAGAAATTTTGAGCAGTTTGGAGAATCGGTAGCAGAGATTTTGAGTAATTTGGATAACTAGCAAATACCACCTCTGGCTGGCCCCAGAGTGGGGTGGGAATGGAGATTTTGCAATATCCTTCCCCAAAGAGTGGGGAGGAAATGGGGATTTTGCAGTATCCTTCCCCGGCCCGCCCACCAAGCCATACCACGCCCACCAAGCCACGCCCACAGAACTGGTAGTAAAAAAAAATAGATTTCACCACTGGGGTGTCACTTTGGCAACATTTACGACTTTGGAGCTCCAGGGATGAAAGGACCTCAAAGCAAGATTGGCTGGGTCTGCAGGCATGCTTGCCCGAAATTTAACCATGCCTTGCTTAATGAAAAATACCCTGAATAACCTGCATAAATTGCGTCTATAGATCGGAGTATCCAATCTTGGCAACTTTTAAGATTTGTGGACTTCAACTTCCAGAAGCCATAGCATAGCTGGCTGGGGAAGTCTGGGAATTGAAGTCCATAAATATTAAAAGTTGCCAAGATTGGACACTCCGATCTACATAATTGTATGGGCTCAACTTGAATACATGAAAAGAGTGAGTAAAATTACTCTTTTACTTACTAAGAGTAAGTAAAAGTAAGGAATATTAGGACAGGGACGGTAGGCAGCTGGTGCGCTTATGCATGCCCCTTACAGACCACTTAGGAATGGGGTGAGGTCAACAGTAGACAGTTTAAGGTTAAAGTTTTGGGGGTTGGGGGAAAAAACCACAGAGTCAGGTAGTGCATTCCAGGCATTGACCACTCTGTTGCTGAAGTCGTATTTTATGCAATCAAGTTTGGAGCAGTTTACCTTGAGTTTGTATCTATTATTTGCTCGTGTATGAAGCTGAAGTAGTCACTGACAGGAAGGACATTGTGGCAGATAATTTTATGTACTATGCTTAGGTCAGACTTAACTCGGCGTACATGGCTTAGGACCTGGTTATTTAAGGGACCGCCTACTACCACAAACAGCCTCCCACTGGCCGGTACGCTCTCATAGAGAGGGGCTCGTCCAGGTGCCATCAGCCAAACAATGTCGACTGGCGGCCCCCAGGGGGAGGGCCTTCTCTGTGGGGGCACCTACTATCTGGAATGAGCTCCCCCCGGAGATACGGAGGATCCCAGATCTGCGCACTTTCCGCTGTGCTCTTAAGACCTGGCCGGCCTGGCCTAATTTTCTCCCCTTTCTTTTAAATTTTTTAAACTGAAATTTTAATTTGTTTTTAAATTATTGGGAATTTTAATTGACTCAGGCAAAATTATTTAATTTGGTTTTAATTATGTTTTTTAACTTTTGTATTTATGTGTTTTATTCTGTGCCTGTTCACCGCCCTGAGTCCTTCGGGAGTAGGGTGGTATACAAATCTGATAAATGATAAAATGAAAATGAATGACTTCTAAGATGTCTAAGCCCAACTTAGAACTAATTAATTAACTAATTAAGCAAGGCATGGTTAAATCTGGGGCAATCAGACCCAGCCACTCTTGCGTAGAGGTCCTTCCATCCATCCCTGAAGGCTCCGCTCTTTTCCCGGCTGCTTCTTGGCAACGGCGGTTGATTTAAGAGCGACTGCGAGGCTTCTCCTCCGCCCCATCTCATCTTGGCCGCTCTCCAAAAGCCCAATTCGGCGGATGGTGGGGAAATTGTCCTGCTGGGTCCACGGAAGACCTGGGAAAGTTGGGCGTAGACATCTGGGCAGGAGGCCACGCCCCCTCCAGGGAGAGCCAATGGGTGCCGAGCAAAGGCGATCGTTCGTTCCCGGCGCTTGCCAGCTCGGCGGACACCGAAAAGGCGATGGCTGTGGCGCGCGTCCTCGAGTGGCTCTTCGCCTTCTACTTCCTCGCTCATATCCCGATCACTTTACTCTTCGATCTGCAGGCGTTGCTGCCTGGGCTTTACCCTTCCGCCGTAAGTAGAGAGGAACCGCCGAGCTCTCCTGGCTGGTCCAACCTGCAAGCGCCGGGGATCCGCTTTGCCTAAGATTCTGGGATCCAGTGCGGAAAACTTGATTCCGCGTTCCTGCCTGAAGAGGCTGAGAAGAAGCGGGATTGTTTGGGGAAGCGGGGGGGAAGCTGCATGGACCCTCTAGCTCTGGATGAGTCTGACTGGGGATGGGAGGATCCAGCGCGTCTCCCACCTGGGATAGATCCCTGTGGCTTGACTGGATTACCAAGGGTCTTTGGGGAAGATGGAGGTTTATTCATAGACAGCGCTTTCGACACTCTGGGATTAGGAAACGCGCTGATTCTATGTATCAAAGGTCAGAATTTGCAAGTAAACCTGTTGGGCGAAAGCTGGGTTTCATTCCATCCATTTTACAATAGTTTTTATAACTGACCTGAAAAACTGGATCAAAATGCATGTAAACCTCTTCCCTGTGTTTTATCTATGTTTATTGTTTGCGGGGGTTTGCAAAATGTTTAAATTATTGGTTTTACTGCATACCGCCCAGAGTCACTTTGATGGGGGGGGGTGGGGGGCTGTTGGCATATAAATTTGACCCATAAACACGTAAAGATCATAAATTCTGTTATGAAAAAAGATAACATCTACATGTCACCTATTCCTGGAACCTGATGTGCTAAACCCTCTCATCCCTGGACTCTCCTTTTAGGAAAGAACTTTGCTCCTTCTTGAATCAAAGTTAAAAGAAGCTGGATTTGATCCTTACATTACCTTCCCCTGGAGTGGGGTGGGAATGGAGATTTTACACTATCCTTCCCCTGCCACGCATACTAAGCCATGCCACGCCCACCATGCCATGCCCACAGAACCAGTAATAACAATTTTTTAAACCCACCACTACTTTGGAGCCCATCAAGTTATCTTGTCTAAGCCCTTTAGTGTGAGAGCCCCCTGCTCGTCACTCAACCCAGTGACTTGATACCGTAATCAAAGAACTACCAAGGAGAAAAGCCAACATTGGGATTCAGAATACTTTAAGATATGGGATCAATTTTACCATTGGCTAGAAAAGAAATACAGACAAGTAAATTAATAGCTATGTAAGAAAATGGCATAATTAGAATAGTGTACTTTTGGAGAAATGGTGTAATAGATTTGGTGAAAAGGAAGACAGAAGAAACAAAAGAAGAAGAAGTCACGGAGAAAACACCAAAATGTCGCACAGAAGGGATGATTGATGTATGTTTGTTTGGGCATAAAATAAAATAAAAATTACAAAAAAAAAGAGAAAAGCCAACATTGGCAGGGCAAGCTACTGTACAGAAACAGGGAGCAAACGCCACACTCACCCGCACTGATGCTGTTACCTCATTTGGTCATAAAATGTCTGCAAGCAAGGAAGCACTGAAGCTCAGAGAGCACCAAGGACTCCTCAGTTCAACCTGAGTGATGGATAGTTTCTTCTGTACGGCCTGTAAAAGTTGTCATCAAAACCTATGACGTAGTTTGAGAAAGAAGGAAAAATCTGCCCCCTGCTAACAAAAGTGGCCAAACTTACATGCTTTACATCAGTTTCCCACCCAGCATTAAAATGGGGCAGGGTTTCTATTACACAGTTGCAGATGCCAAATGAATTTTGTCACCTCACCCCACCATAGATAGAAGATTAAAAGGAAGATTTAGGTGCCCTCCTCCTCCTCCTCTTCCTTACTCACCGACCGTCTTCTCTGTTCCTAAAGCTGACCGATATGTTGACCTGGTACAAAACTACATTCAAGGATTCATTGGTGGCAAACCCAGAACCCTGGTTCCGGTCTTTCCTGTACTTTGAAGCTTTTCCACAATTATTTTTCTTTCCCGTTGCTGCCTATGCCTTCTGGAAAGGTAAGCATGCTGGTTTGTGAGAACCAGGGGAGCATGACATTGGGTGGGCACAGAACAGGGGTGGGATTGAGCTGGTTCGGATCGGTTCAGGCCGACCGGATGTTAATTTTAATCTGGTTCGCCGAACTGGTAGTTTGTTTGTTTGTTTGTTTGTTTGTTTATTTATTTATTTATTTATTTATTTATTTATTTATTTAATTTTTTATACCACCCTTCTCCCGAAGGACTCAGGGCGGTGAACAGTCAAAATAAACATATATATAAAAATGTGAATAGAAGCAATAAATAATAATTAAGTCAATTTGGCTTATCAGTTAAGTTAGGATCTTCAGATAAGTTGCAAGGACCCCACCCACCCTGCCCTGCCCCACCCAGGAGTCCCCACGTGGCCCGTTTTGGATGCCAGATAAGTGAAGGGCCTGCGTGGAGGCCCTGGGAAGGCAAAAATTGGGCCCACCAGAAAACCAGGAACAGGCCTGTTTCTGGCCTCTGGAGGGCCTCCGGAGCCCGGGGGAGGCCGTTTTTGCCCTCCCAGAGGGTCAAGGAAAGCCTCCGGAGCCTGGAGAGGGCGAAAAATGGGTCTACCGGAAGTCCGGAAATAGCCCATTTCTGGCCTTGGGAGGGCCTCCAGAGCCTGGGGAGGGCAAAAACACCCCCCCACACACCATGGTGCAGGAAGCTGGCTAGGCCAGGCCCACCCAGCAACCGGGCAAAGAATTGGCTGCTAAAATTTTTCAATCCCAGCCCTGGCACAGAACCATGATAAATTGTCCTTGGAGAGAAGAATGCAAGTATTTCCTAATGGAGATTGAAGATCAAGAGACGTTCGTGAGAACCATCGGACTCCGAAGCCCCTCATGCTGAAATGGGCCAACTGTTGGCAGCCTCGAGAGGCTTATCTACCTGTTCTGAAATAGTGAAAGAAGTTGGTTGTAGTGGTCCTTGATTTACAACCATTTGTTTAGTGACTGTTCAAGGTTACAATGGCATTGCAAAATGTAACTGATGAGTGCAGCACTCCAGGCTATTTCAGCTGACCGCTAGTTGCAGTTCGGCAGTTCAAATCTTACTTACATCCTTCCGAGGTGGGTAAAATGAGGACCCAGATTGTTGGGGGGCAATATGCTGACTCTGTAAACCACTTAGAAGGCTGTAAAATCACTGTGGAGCGGTATATAAGTCTAAGTGCTATAGCTATTTTCCCCTTCCCAATTGGCGTCCAAGGAGCAAAGTCAATTGGGAAATTTGAATTCACTTAACAATGCTTGTAATTTTCTTAACTGCGGTAATTTGCTTAACAACAGTGACATAAAAAACTAATAAAATTGATCTGACTCAGTTAACATTGCAACCACCTTTTTAGCAAGGGAAATTCTCGTCCCAGTTGTGGTTATAAGTCGAGGACTACCAATATTTACATACAATATTTTTCAGAGTATAAGATGCACCTACCTTTTTTGGTGAGGAAAAGAAGAAAAAGAAATCTCCCTCTGCCTCTGAGCAGTTATGCCTCGGTACAGCAAACAGCCTGATTTACTTTCATTTTTGTTTTCAGCATAGCTTGATTCAGTGGTGGGATTCAATTTTTTTAACAACTGGCTCTGTGGGCGTGGCTTATTTGGGTGGGCGTGGCTTGGTGGTCATGTGACTGGGTGGGCGTGGCTTGGTGGTCATGTGACTGGGTGGGTGTGGTGAAGTGTATAGGGACTACCCAGAGGGCTGAAAAAAGTTATTTCTGACAGTTCCTCACACTTTTGACCGGTCCTCACACTTATGACCACTTATCATTTATGCCCATTGCAGCATTAACAACCGTGTCACATATTTCACAACTGCGGTGCTTCATGTGACCAGGTGGCCGTGGTCATGTGGCATCGCTTCTTTGCCCTAATGACAGTTTGCTGCAATGGTCATAAGTGTGAAAAACGGTCATAAGTCACTTTTTCCAGTGCCATTGTAACTGTTGTAAATCAAGGATTACCTGCACAAAAATTCAAAAAGCTTCTTTGCTTGCAAAAAGCTGCCCTAAATACCAATCATTAGATTAGAAATACCTGCAAACTAGAGTTGCAAATCAGGGAGGGTGCCAGAGCACCTTGAGGAATTAAAATAGTTAAAATGCAATGATACTATCAGCCGCCAACTCTTGCTCATAAAGTGAAACCCTTTAGCAGAGAAATCATTTAAGCTCTCCAGAATGAAGCAAAGGAGCAAACAGAGTATCTGTTGCTTGTTAAACCAACTACCAGAACAAATAGACACAGAACTAGTCAGATTTCCAAAGCTGCTTCTTTTCAGGAACAGAGATTAAAATTTTTCCTTCCAAGCAAAGCTGAATAGGGAACATTATCTCATCACTAAACACAGGATTAAAGATCACCAAGCACAGAATTAAACTTCACCAAAAACCAAAAGTCAGAAAGGGAATGTAAACTCACGTTTGAGTGTCAATCTTTCTAGCTAGCCAAGAAGCCTTGCTGAATGTCACTCATCTTGATTCCTTGTTTTTAAAAGCTTCTGCTTCATTATTCAATTATTTCTTCAAAGTGCTGATCATTGCATCCTGGCTGGAAGAACTCCAACAGGGGAGTATTTCCTCCCAACAGTGATGTAAAAAGCTTAAAACAACCCTTCCCCTTTAAGAAAGTCAAGCCAAAAAAACCCTCCGAGAACCTCCGGAAGCGACAGTAAGTCTAGACATACTGCCGGAGAGGCAGTTTCTGTAAGCAGGGCAATAAAGGATTAGGTTAGGAAACAACGCCGAATGTTGTAATTCCTTACAGGATCAACCCTGTAAAGTGGGGAAAAAAAACAAAAGGAGATTTCTTTTAACAACCAGTTCTCCAAACTGCTTAACTACTTAACTACCTGTTCTACCGAACCGGTAGAATCCCACCACTGGCTTGATTAGCACAAGAAAAAAAAATCTGCTCCCAGCTATTTACCTCTTTGCAGCAAGCAGCAGAGCCCTGCGCAAAACAGCTGAGAGCAAATCAGCTGAGAGTCGGGAGGCTGATCCAAAGGACAAGTTAATTAGGTTGTGCTGAAGCTGAAAGGAGCTCCTTGCTGTTTGCTTGCAAGGAGGTAACTGCTGCGAGGCAGAGGCCAAAGGGTGGGGGTCAGTGGGTGGGAGGGGCTACATTCGGTGTATAAGACGCACCTAAATTTTCACCCCCTTTTAGGGGGGGGAAGATGCATCTTATACTCCGAAAAATACAGTAAGTATGCAAATTAGAAAATGAACACTTGAGTTTTGACCTACGGCTGCAATTATTAAAAAAAAAACCTGGTTTTTCAATGCAGGGAGCTGCAAGTGGATCCGGATTCCTGTGATTATCTACACAACGCACGTAACTACAACGGTGGTTCCTTGCTTGGCCCAAATCCTGTTTGCTGATTTCTCCAACGCGAAAGTCCCGGGTCCACAGAGTTTGCAGGAACGCCTGACCCTGGCTGCTTTCTACGCTCCTTACTTAGCAATTCCCCTTGTGATGTTGCTTTTTGTACTGTTCAGCTCTGCTTATAAGCCAGTTGAAAAAAAGAAGAAGAAATAAAACCTTTGGCCTTTCTCCTTTGGGGAGGAAGATGTGCCAATGAAATCGAGGAAAAGTGTGTCTGTGTTCCTAAGGGAGCAAACCAGAGGTGGGTTTCAGCAGGTTCTGACAGGTTCTGGCGAACCGGTAGCGGAAATTTTGAGTAGTTCAGAGAACCGGTAGTAAAAATGGTGGGTTGCTACCAGTTCGCCCTGGTTTGGGTAAACCATTAGTAGCAGCAGGCTCCGCCCACCTGCCCGGATGCTTCTGCACATGCTCAGAAGCATCGTGCGTGTGCATGAGCGCGCACACACCCACGAGCGAACCGGTAGTGACAGGTTTTGAAACCCGCCCCTGCACAGGTAGTCCTTGACTTATGACCACAACAGAGCCCAGAATTTACATTGCTAAGTGAGGATGTTAAGTGAGCTTTACCCCATTTTCTTGCCACATTTTTTAAATGAAACCGCAAGTTGTTAAATTAGTGACATGATTGCTACGCGAATCTGGTTGCCTCATGGACTTTGCTTGTCAGAAGGTCACAAAAGATGATCACACGACCCCAGGACACCATAACCGTCATAAATACGAACCAGTTGTCAAGCATCTGAATGTAAATCACGTGACTGTGGGGATGCTGCGAAAGTCATAAGTGTGAAAAATGGTCATAAGTCGGGTTTTTTCAGTGCTGTTGTAACTTCCAACGGTCACTAAAAAAACTGTTGTAAGTCGAGGACTACCTGTAGGGACTAGGCCTCAGTGTGCTTGTCAGATGGGAAATATTCTCCGGTGGGATCTTAGAAAACCACCTGAAACAGTGTTATGCCATAAAAGCAACGTGCTTTCCTCGTAAAAGGGGTCGTTTCACAAATATGAGGTGAAGAGAGCAACCAGATGGTGCGGGGGGGATACTTGAGACCAGATGAGTTACCCCAACATCATAAAAAGTTTTTCTTAAATTGCGGGGGGGGGGGGAACCCAGATGCAAAATTGCTGGTGCTTCTCCTTCCTTGTGCACCTGGAATCCGGGTTCTCCTGGCCCTCTTGGTAGGGCTGCCGGTCCACACTGGTCCCTCCCTCAGGCACCAGTGGTGGGTTGCCCTCGGTTCGCACCGGTTCTATAGAATCGGTAATAAAACCGGCAGGAGGCTCCGCCCACCGACCCCGATGTCACCAAAACACAGAAGAACATGCGCGAGCAAAGCAAGCACGCACACACGGTCCCGCTGCAAACTGGTAGTAAAGGTAAGTAGAACCCATCCCTGTCAGGCCCCTCTACTTGCTTGGGTCACGTGGTGGTCAGTCTTTGCCCAGCAGGCAGGTCACATGATGACCTACCATCTGGAACGAGCTCCCCCCAGAGATACGGAGGATCCCGGACCTGCGCACGTTTCGTCGTGCTCTCAAAACTTTATTATTTCAGCAGGCTGGCCTGGCCTAACTCTCCTCTTTTAAATTTTTAATTCGTGATTTTATAAATTGGGTGTTTTAATCTGTGTTTCGGCCAAAATATTTAATAATTTTAAGGGATTTTAATATTTGTATTATCTGTATTTTATCTTGGCTGTTCACCGCCCTGAGTCCTTCGGGAGTAGGGTGGTATAGAAATTTGATTAATAAATAAATAAATAAATAAATGAGATGGTATCCAGGTGGCTGGTCAGCCCTTCTTTCCTACCCTCCCTCTCTCTTTTGAACTGCTTGCTGGGCTCTTTTTTCCTGCCCACAGAAGCTTCTCCTTTCTTATTCCCTTCTCTCCCTCAGGCTTGCCCCACAGAAGCCTCGCCCTCTGAAGAAGCAGCTTCTTCGGCTCTGACTCCACCGTTCAGTCAGAACTGAAGAAGCTTCTTGGATGAGAAGCGAAACGTCTTCAAAAGAAAAAACAAGAAAGTCCAGTTGCCCCCTGAAAAAAAGCACCTTTGGGACACCGGAGTCCTTCTTTAATCTTCTATCCATGGGGGGTGGGGGGTGGGGAGGGAGGGAGGTGAAGGACAGACCTGGCCCTCTATTGATTTTTTTTAAAACTACTATCTCTCTATATCTGTTATTTTTGTCTATCTAAATCAATCAATCTATGAATCTTGTCACTAGGTCATGTCCAGTCCAGCTTCTTATAACATTGATCAGAGAAGAAACGGCAAAGGCCCTTTTTAAAAGCAGGGTCCAGGGATGAGAGGGGTCAGCGTATAAGACTCCAGGAATAGGTGAAATATAGATTTTATCTCAGGTCACATAGAATTTTTATTGATTGGTCAAATTTAGATGGCCACCCATCTCATACATGCAAATTCGTGAAGCGTTCCATATTTTAATAAAAAAAAGAGCCTTGGCGGCGCAGCAGACTAAAGTACTGTTAAGTAACTCCAGCTGCCAGCAATTACTGCAAGTTCAAATCTCAGCAGGCTCAAGGTTGACTCAGCCTTCCATCCTTTCGAGCTAGGTAAAATGAGGACCCGGTTTGTGGGGGCAATAAGCTGACTTTGTATAAAATAGAACACTGCTTAGGGGGGCCAAAAAGCCCTACTAAGCAGGTATATACAAAAGTATGAAGGCTATTGCTTAACGCATTGTAAGGCGCCCTGAGTCTCTGGAAAAGGGCGGCATATAAATTGAACCAATAAACAAATAAATAAATGTGATATTTCGGTGTTATCTCCAAAAACTTCTTCTCTTATCTCTTCTATCTTCATTCTCATCAAGTCCATTACAAAAATTTTCCACTAATATATTATTCTTGTTACAACATTTTTTCCCCCAATCTCTTTTAAATCTTATTTATATCTCTTTTCTAACCAATAGTAAAATTGATTCCATATCTTAAAATATTCTGAATCTTCTCTTTCTTTTTTCATCATAGTTAATCTGTTCATTTCTGCACAGTCTAAAAAAAATGTAATTACTTCTCCCTCCGATGGTATTTTCTCTGCTTTCCAATTTTGTGCATAAACAATCCTTGCCGCTGTTATTACATGTATAATCAAATATATATTGTCTTTACTAATTTTCTCTGGTAAGATACCCAATAGGAATAGCTCTGGTTTTAAATCCATACGTTGTATCATTTCCTCCAACCATAACTTAATTGTATTCCAATAGTGCTTTGCTTCAGGGCATGTCCACCACATGTGGTAATATGAGCCTGGTAACTGGTGGCATTTCCAACATTTAGCTGATTTATCTTTAAACATTTTTGCCAGTTTCTCAGGGGGCATATGCCATCTGTACTTGCAAAACCTTTAGTGTATAGTCCAATTTCTTTACTAATCCGAGAGGGTGGGAAAGTGTGGTCTTAAAAGTAGCCCCCCATCTTCCTAAAAGACCCTTGGTCATCCAGACAAGCTAAATAGGAGCTTCCCTCCATTCCTCAGTGAATCCCAGGTTTTTCAATCTCCAAACAGCCAGGCAGGACTGGGGCACAAGTTTTCCACTCCAGATACGCCAACTCGGTCGCAAATTCCTTCACGAGGCAGATCCCCGATGTTTTAAGTCAGGGGTCTCCAATCTTGGCAACTTTAAGACTTGTGGACTTCAACTTGCTGGCTGTGGAATTGTGGGAGTTGAAGTCCACAAGTCTTAAAGTTGTCAAGATTGAAGTGTTGGAATAGTTACAAGATCTCGGCGGTTCCTTTCTTCTTACGGCAGGAGCAGGGTGAAATCCAGGTTCTGGAGAAATGGTAGCGGAAATTTTGAGTAGTTCGGAGAATCAGCAAATACCACCTCTGGCTGGTGTGAGTGAGGTGGGAATGGGGATTTTGGAGTATCTTTCCCCTGGAGTGGGGTGGGAATGGAGATTTTGCTGTATCCTTCCCGTGCCATGCCCACCAAGCCACGCCCACAGAACCAGTAATAAAAAAAATTGGATTTCACCACTCTGGGCGGAAGGGTAAACTCCAGGCCACAATGAACGCATATCAATCAATAAAATCAGCAGGATGTGAGCGAGGAAGTAGAAGATGAAGGTCCACTTGAGGACACGAACCGCGGCCATCGCCTCTTGCATGGACCGTCAGACTGGCGGGTGCTGGGAATAAAAGGCTCACTTTTCTCCTTAATTTGCGGCTCTTCTCGAAGGGGTGTGGTCTCCTGTCCTCTGGTCCCACCCAGTTCTTCAATCAGATCCCTTGGGGGGTGGGAAGGACAGCTGGACTTTCTGGTTTTTCTCTGAAGAGGTTTCGCTTCTCATCCAAGAAGCTTCTTCAGCTCTGACTAAAATCCTTCCATTCCCCACCATTCAGTCGGAGCTGAAGAAGCTTCTTGGATGAGAAGCGAAACCTCTTCAAAGAAAAACCAGAAAGTCCAGTTGCATCTTGAAAAAAGCACCTTTGGGACAACCATGACTTGGATGACTGAGAATCTCCAGAGACGTTTTCGCTAAAGGTCTCGCCAGGCACCCTTATATTACACGCACACACACACACATGAACGAGCACATCAGGACGACTCTCTGGCCATCTGGACTCTAAATCTGGGGATTGCTTGTTTAAACCAATAGGAAGAGAAAAAAATTTCCCACAAGTTTAATCCACTTGTGAGGTCCCCCTGACTACCTCCTGTAGTTTTTTTTTTTTTTTTACTTATTTAAAAAATGTATATGACTGCCCATCTCACCCCAAAGGACTCTGGGTGCTGTCCAATAAAATCAGGAATTAAAACATGTTACAAACCCATTAAAATAAGCATTGATAAAAGACGACCAGATGGGACAAGGTTTGAATGCTTTTATAAGATAACACCTCTATTTATCTGAATCCCTGTGCCTGAGGGCAGGATAAGAAGTAAGGGCTGGAAACTTATCCAAGGGAGATCCAACCTTGAATTAAGACAGACAGCAATTGTCAGTGAGAACAATCAATCAGTGGAATGGGTTATTACCTTCAGATGTTATGGGTGCTCTACCACTGGAGGCTTTTAAGAAATTGGACTGTTATTTGTCCAGAATGACATAGGTGTCAGGTTTTGATGTCGTCTCAAATAAAATAAATTGCATTTCCAAACAGTCTTTGAATAAATCTTTCATTTTATTAAGCACGACAACCTGTTCCCGATCGTGGCGTAGCCAACTCTGACTTCCTGACCCCAAACCTTCCCTTTCCGTTCCCCAATTCTCTGCGTCTCATTGGGCCTCTTCCAAATCACTCTCCCCATATCTACTACTTAAGCTCCCAGGAATGTCCCCCCTCCCATCTCATCTCCTAGGGGATATTATCTTCAGGGAAAATAAGTAGGTGAGAAGTCAAGCGTCCTCTTGCCAGCTGCCCCCTCTTCTCCTTATGTCAGCACTAGAGTAAATGCAGGTTGAAGTGCTGACAATAGGGCAGTGTTTCTCAACCTTGGTAGCTTGAAGATGGGTGGACTTCAACTCCCAGAATCCCCCAGCCAGCGCTGCTGGCTAGGGGATTCTGGGAGTTGAAATCCACCCATCTTCAAGCTTCCAAGGTTGAGAAACACTGACATAAGATCTTCTGCCTGAGCAGGGAGTTGGATTAGAAGACCACCAAGATCCCTTCCAACTGTTACTTTTACTAAAATGTTTCTCCTACACTACTCTCCCGCTCGGAGGTCTCCTGATGGTTCCCCATCCAATTACCAATCAAGATCTACACACCTTTTGCTTTTGAAGATTAGTGGAGATCGGCTATAGGGTTGCCCTGAGTGTAATATAGTATAAACTCCCCCCTAATTTCAAATGGTAACTAGGTCAAAGCTGTATAATATGGCCTGAGAAAGAAAGGATGTAAAAATCCCTTCAATGCAGTGGTGGGTTTCAATTTTTTTTACTACCGGTTCTGTGGGCGTGGCTTGGTGGGCGTGGCTTGGTGGGCGTGGCAGGGGAAGGATACTGTAAAATCTCCATTCCCTCCCCAATCCAGGGGAAAGTTAATACAAAATCCCCATTTTCTCCCGATCAGCTGCGACTTGGGAGGCAGAGAATAGATGGGGGCGGGGCCAGTCAGAATTTTTACTACCAGTTCTCCGAACTACTAAAAATTTCCGCTACCGGCTCTCCAGAACTGGTCAGAACCTGCTGAAACCCACCTCTGCTTCAATGCAATATTTGAGTCAATCTGATACAGTGATTAAAGAAAGTCTCTGGGATCGGGGTGTCAAACTCGCAGCATCACGTTGTCATCACGTGACATATCACGACTTTTTCCCCTTTGCTAAACCGGGAGTGGGCCTGGCCAGCGCATGACGCATCCGGGCTGCAAGACCACGAGTTTTAACACCCCTGCTCTAGGAGATAAGAGTTAGTCCTGCCTTTAGACATGAAACCAACTGGCTCTTCTGTGTTCTAAGGCGTCCTGAGACAGTAACAATCACACGCTTAGTCCCCAAAACCTTCTTTTTATTTCAGCGGCTGTGAATTATGTTCATTCACAGCCCGTAATGAGTCCCAAGCAGTTTGTGAATAATCCGACAGAAGTCTGCCAGTGTCTTTAGGGACTAAGACCAGGGTGGATAAAAATCAATGATTAAAAAAAAAAACAGATTTTTTTTAAATTTAAATCGGATTTTTTTTTATTATCGGATTTTTTTGATTTTTATCGAATTTATTTTAATAAAAAACTTTTGGGGTAAAAATCTATCGTAACATAGTTTTCTATTTAAGATACATAAATAATTTTGTTTATTCAGCATGAAATGGAGCTTAGTTATGTAGCATGAGGCTGTATATTCTGCAACACTGGGACTATCGGTGAGTCAACAGTGGGTCAAAGGAGTAGCAGAGATGACAGTTGCTCTTTAAAAATTATGATTTAAATCGAGTTGATTTAAATCAAGCCTTTTTACTAGTGCTTTAAATCATGATTTAAATTGTGATTTAAATCAACTCGATTTAAATCAAATCCACCCTGGATAAGACTGATAAGCACCCACCTTTACCTCCCTTGAAACGCTGCCAAAGACCTAATTGCCAATTACCTTTGCAAGGCCAAACGGAGCACAAAGTCAAAACGGAGCTTCAGAGTTTAAGCCGACCAGAACGAACAAAGTTGCTTCCTGCAAAGGCTCATGTCCCTTTGCTCCACCTTTATGTCTTATGGGAGGGGCCAATCATCTCCAAGCCTTACTCCCGAGTCATCCAATTTGTCTTAACTGTTCTTGCCTTCTGGCATGCACACACTGAGAACAGGCTCCCCCTGTTCCTCTGCCTCGCTGATGTCAGACTCTGGAGGCTCTGGAGTCAGCACATAACTCCCAGATGGCCCTGGCCCCCTCTCTGCCTCCAACGCAGAGCTCTCATCCGAGTCTTTCCCAGACTCCAGAACTGGCCCATGTTCCTCCCCAGCCTCCTCACTGCTGCCAGCTCCACAGGCCGTCGGTGGACCACAACACAATCCTTCCCTCTCAGCTCCATGAAAAAGGACAATCATTTCTGAAAAATGGATCCAGGCAACCCCAGGAGTGAAGATTGACCTAAAGGATTATGTAATCCTGTCCCGGCCTCTGAGATGTGATCAGGTCTCCTGATTCTGAACCAGCCTTCCACCCAGATGTGCATGCAGAAAAAGCAGGGCTTCGATTACATGCCATTTTGACTTTTTTGACCTCACCCCCATGGAGTGGGATTAAAGTTGGATTCAGGTGCCTTCCACTTTCTCCTCCTCTCTCTTTCACTGGTCATATGTGTGATCTGTTTCTGGCACACTACCTTCTCTCTACCGAACATCACCATGACAGAAGTGCAGTGGGTAAACGCAGCATTTCAAAAGGTTAATTGTTTCTCGAAGCATTTTATTTTCTTAAAAAGTGGGGAAGATGCACAAACCCAGTGAGAAATACAGTTGAGTGATAGAAACTCTCATTATAAACAGCTGTTTAAAAAAAAGAGAAGACTTAAATACAAGAGTTGCTCCTTCCTTCTCATCCTTTGGAAGCACATCCAATCGCCAACATCCCCCCAGGGACCCCCCCCATGGGTTTTTTCCCCCCCCCCCCCCCCCACAGGGCAGGTTGCATGGGGAAAATGAAAACTCTCTGGAATGGAGATCTTGCAAGGTATGTCTTCAGTCGATGCTTTCACAGCCTGTCCAAATTGCCTGTTCTGGAACAACAGGAATCGGTCAAGTTCTCTTGGTCCATCGATTGCCGTCAATTCTTGGTCTACTTCTGGAAGATAAATTGGTCGATGAATTCATTCTGGTCCGCTTCTATTTTGCACAGTGTTTGATACTCCACTCGGTACCTGAGGAACAAGGAAAGCAAAGAATGAGCTGGCTGGGCTTGAAGACAGCTTGAAGGATGAACAACTGGGGGGAGGGGGGGATTTTTCAGCTGGCAAAAAGAGCCCCGGCAGGGAGCTGATGGCTTCCATGTGTTTGCATTCTTGAGTTATTCAAGAAGCATCAGAATACTTTAGGGAGTAAAAAAAAAAAAAACCCTTCCAGCATTCTTTTGAATTTTTCGGCAGCTGTTTTATGACAACCGGCTCCCAAGAACAGAGAGAAGACCATTCCCTGGTGGATCAGGGGATGGACAATCAGGACGGCTCTGGGCAGATGAGGGAGGGAGGGAGGGAGGAAGAAAAGTGTTCTGGGAGTGTTGGAAGGCTGTGCAACTAATTGCACAGGATATTTGGCGGACCACCTACAGCCAGCAATGATATCCCATCGCCCGGTTCGCACCCATAGAGGGGGCCTATTCAGGGTGCCGTCGGCTAGAGAGTGCCGGCTGGCAGCTCCCAGGGGTAGAGCCTTCTCGGTGGGTGCGCCCACCCTCTGGAATCAATTTCCCTTGGAGCTCTGATTAGCGCCTGACCTTGGCACCTTCCGTCGTGAATTAAAAACTTGGCTTTTTAAATCGCTTGACCTGGTCTGATGGGGGGTTTTAAGGGTTAAATTTTAAATTGTTTAGATTTTAGATTTTATTTTGTATTGTGGCTTGTGTTTTTATTATTGTGGGCCGCCCTGAGTCCATTGGGAGATAGGGCGGCATATAAGCCGAATAAAATAAAGAGCCTGTAGTACAGTGGACTAAAGCACTGTTATTAACATCTGCTGCTTGCAATTACTGCAAGTTCAAATCTCACCAGGCTCAAGGTTGACTCAGCCTTCCATCCTTTCAAAGGTAGGTGAAATGAGGACCCAGATTGTGGGGGCAATAAGTTGACTTTGTATAAATATACAAAAGTATGAAGGCTATTGCTTAACGCATTGTAAGCCACCCTGAGTCTCCGGAGAAGAGCGGCATATAAACTAAAGCAAATAAAATAAATAAATAAATAAATAAATAAATAAATAAATTGGCTCTTTGGAAAAAGGAGGCAGTGGTATTTGGTGTACATTTATATTTACCGTATTTTTCGAGGTATAAGACGCACCTTTTTCCCCCCTAAAAGGGGGTAAAAATTTAGGTGCGTCTTATACACCGAATGTAGCCCTGCCCACCCACTGGCCCCCACCCTTTGGCTTCTGCCTGGCAGCAGTTACCTCCTTGCAAGCAAACAGCAAGAAAAAACAGCTCCTTTCAGCTTCAGCACAGCCTAAGTACCGCAAGTTGATTGGATCCGCCTCCCGACTCTCAGCTGATTTGCTCTCAGCTGTTTTGCGCAGGGCTCTGCTGCTTGCTGTAAAGAGGTAAATTGCTGGAGCAGATTTTTTTTTTCCTTGTGCTAATCAAGCTATGCTAAAAACGAAACTGAAAGTAAAGCAGGCTGTTTGCTGCAATGAGGCAAAATTGTTCAGAGGCAGAGGGAGATTTCTTTTTCTTCTTTTCCTCACCAAAAAAGGTAGGTGTGTCTTATACTCAGAAAAATATGGTAAGCGCTTTAGAAAACCTCCAGAGATAACCATGACACCAATAACCAATAACACTGTAATTATAACCTTGTTGCTGGTATCCTTAAGATTTATATTGACTGTTTCCTAATATGATTTGATTGCTTATTTGTTCCCTATGACTATCATTAAGTGTTGTACCTTATGATTCTTGACGAACATATCTTTTCTTTTATATACACTGAAAGCATATACACCAAGACAAATTCCTTATGTGTCCAATCACACTTGGCCAATAAAAAATTCTATTCTTCTATTCTATGCTAATAGAAAAGAATATATGTAGCTCAGGGTTGAACTATGGGGTCCTCGGTGCACTCTGTTTATATATAGTAGCTTGCCCAGCTTAGGTGGGGGTGTGATTTTCTCCTTGTCAGTTTTTTTATTATGGTATTGTTTCCTGCTTACTTGTCTGGTGTTAATCCCTGCTTATCTAGATGTTGGCTGCTGGAGCAGATGGGGTCTGGTCTTTTAGTTTCCTTCTTAGGTATTTTTTTGACTGGTGTGTAAATGTGGTTTATCTCTATGTGTCTATTGATGGCCGAAGAGGTCACAAACCCCACACTCATTCACACTGATGATGTTGGGTCATGAAATGTCTGGAAGCAAACAACCAAGTTCAGAGCGCACCAAGGATTCCATAATGATTAGTCTTGGGGTTGGGCGGATTGTTTTCCTCCTCAAATGCTAAATAACCTGCTCCTCCCAAAACGCAAGCGCTCCTGCTCTGTCCTATCTGGCAAGCAAAATGTACACAGGGAGAGGATCAAAAGAGTCAAGATGGCAACGAACCCATGGAAACAAACCCGTTCCCCCATTTACGCGATGCATATGAAAGAGGGGAACCGATGCTATGACGATAATGTGATTAAGCAAGGCACTTTCTCTAACCTGGGGGTCTAACAGGTTGTGACAGCATCTGGCATGATTCCCAATGCTGTGGTTGAAATGGAGAAAGTCAGCCCGAGGGAACGCTTTAAAAAATAGACTCATCTGCTTTTATTAGTCTTTCCCACTGAGCCACGGTGGTGCAGTGGTTACAATGCAGTACTGCAGGCTACTTCTGCTGATTGCCGGCTGCCTACAATTTGGCAGTTCGAATCTCACCAGGCTCAAGGTTGACTCAGTCTTCCATCCTTCCGAGGTCGGTCAAATGAGGACCCAGATTGTTGGGGGCAATAGGCTGATTCTGTAAACCGCTTAGAGATGGCTGTAAAGCACTGTGAAGCGATATGTAAGTGTAAGTGCTACTGCTATTGCAGGCTAACTCTGCCAAGTGCTAGGAGTTCGTTCTTGACCAACTCAAGGTTGACTCAGCCTTCCATCCTTCTGAGATGGGTAAAATGAGGACCCAGGTTGTTGGGGGCAATAGGCTGACTCTGTAAACCACTTAGAGAGGGCTGTAAATCACTGTAAAGCAGTATATAAGTCTATGTGCTTTTGCTATCCTCCTTGGGATTACTCGGGAGCAAACTCCACTCAGCAGAGGCGGGACATCTCGCATCCATCTCTTGCAGAAATATCTTCTGTGACTTGCCCCACCCCAATTAAAACAAAACCCCAATATTTTTTTAAGTAGAAGAGAATCTAGGGCAAGGTTTCTCAACCTCAGCGACTTTAAGAAGAGTGGAGTTCAACTCCCAGAATTCCTCTGACAAGGTTGAGAAACACTAATATAGGATAATAAATCTCATGAGACTGCACCAAATTTGGGGGGGGGGACATGTCTGGGGACAGAAAGAAAATAATATCCCTCCCTGATTTAAGGATCAGATGCTTTAAGGGCAGGAGACCTCCTGGGGCTTCAGTTTTTGTGGCCAGGAAACCTAGGATGTGTTTAGCACATATTTGGGAATTCCTTTGTCCATTCCTAACCTTTCCAACTGCGTCTTCTTCTCGGTGATTAATGCTTGGAGTTGTTGCTGTTGGGCCTCTCTTTGCTTTGCTATGGACTTCAGTAAGTTACGGGCCCCGATTGCCTGCAAAAGAAGAAACCTTTATTTAAAAAAAAAGAAAAAAGCAAGTACTTTTGTTTTCTTGCAATCCTTCTAAATGGATTTGGGCTGCTCCACCTCTAAAGAAATCTGTTCATCATCCATTGGTAAGCATCGATGTATAGTATAAAGGTAAAGGTTCCCCTTGCACATACGTGCTAGTCGTTCCCGACTCTAGGGGGCGGTGCTCATCTCTGTTTCAAAGCCGAAGAGCCAACGCTGTCCAAAGATGTCTCCGTGGTCATGTGGCCGGCATGACTCAATGCCAAAGGCACACAGAACGCTGTTACCTTCCCACAAAAGGGGGTCCCTATTTTTCTACTTGCATTCTTTACGTGCTTTCGAACTGCTAGGTTGGCAGAAGCTGGGACAAGTAACAGGAGCTCACCCCGTTACGTTAGCCACCACGTCCCTGCTATATGTATAGTAGAGACCTCCTTTAAATGAGCTGAGCAGAAAGAGTTGATATTATGCCATGCACGCATGACAAAATGACAGTATCTCTCTAGGCCAGTTTTTTCCCAATCTTAACAATTTTAAGATGTGCGGACTTCAATTCTCAGAATTCCTCAGCTAGCATGGGAAATAAAATAACCTTATTTTTAGTGGTTTCATGACTCCCTTCTAGGTGATGGACACTATTTTAGCATATATTTGAGTGGTAGTTACACACTACATGATCACCAGGAGGCAGTGTGCTTTCTGTTTTTACCCTGACTGGGCCTCATCTACCTCCTGATGGTCAAATAATGTCTACCAATCCTTGGTAAGCAATGACACTGTGCTATGGATGTTGTCCAAGTGAATACCACCTTTAACTGACAAGCTGCAACTACAGGTAGTCCTCATTTAGTGACACAATTAGGGCTGGCAACTCCATCATTAAGTGAAATGGCCACTAAGGGGGAAATCATGTGACTGCAACTGTACTTTCCTTTTTCTCACTTGCCCGTAACTTGGAATGGTCAATTTGGCATTGGGGTAATTAGCAAGAAGGGAATTAATGTTTGTACGTAATTCATTGGAGAGGAAGGGATTACAAGAGAGTAATTAGGCACACAATGGGGAATACACATCGAAAGCAATGTGGTGGTGCCAGAAACCGTGAGCATGCTATGCAAACAGCCCAGAGTATTCCCCATTATGTACTTGCTTACTCTTTTTAATCCCCTTTTCTCCAATCTCCCTACTCTGCAGGGGGGTGGGGAAAAGAAAAAACAATAGGTTAGGTACAGGACACAGTGGATTAACTCAGGGGTGAAATCCAGCAGGTTCTGACAGGTTCTGGAGAACCGGTAGTGGAAATTTTGAGCAGTCAGAGTACCAGCAAATACCACTTCTGGCTGGCCCCAGAGTGGGGAGGGAATAGAGATTTTGCAATATCCTTTCCCCAGGAGTGGGGAGGGAATGGGGATTTTGCAGTATCCTTCCCCTGCCACACCCACCAAGCCATACCCCACTAAGCCACACCACTCCCACCAAGCCACGCCCACAGAACCGGTAGTAAAAAAATTTGGATTTCACTACTGGATTAACTGTAATGGTTATTATGTGACTAGGAGATGCTACGCTGCTCATAAATGCAAGTGATAGTTGTATCTTTATTAGTACCATTGTAACTAAACAAGGCAATCAGTAAGGGTGACTACCTGTACACAATGGCAAAGGACACAGAATACTTCTTGCCCTCTTTAATTTTTATAACTACATTAAAAAGAAAGTGAAAACCTTTTTTTAAAAAAATGACGGACACCTTGTTGATCAGTTAATCTCCCAGAGCTATTTTTGAGAAGTAGTCCCATTTACTTCAGGGGGGTGTCTTATTTCTTGATAAATACTGTAATTTAAAAACATAAATGTACTTTGGAATATAACCTTTTTTAAAAATGGGTTATTCTTATTTTAAAAAACCATATAATTCAGCAGTAAAAAATTCTAGTTCTTAATCATAGTTATCATTTTTTAAAGCAAACAACTGGCTTTTTTTAAAACAAGAAAAGGATCTATTTTTAGTTTTAGAATGTTGTCTTCTAAAGGAGGGCTACACAAACAGAAACAGATCGAACATTTTTTTTAAAAAAAAAATCTGATACACTTGTTTAAAAACATAGAATTCATCAAAGGGGTGTTAATGTAATTAATTAAAATATATTTGTTTCCTGTTTCTATCCAGGACATCAAGGCAGCTTATAAGACAAAAGGGGAAATAAAAAACTAAAAGACCTATTTTAAACAACTGTTCTAAATCTGAAGGAGGAAGGCTACACCAGGACTATCCAGCCTTGGGAACAGTGGTGGGATTCAGCTGGTTCGGGCCGGTTCTAGTGAACCGGTAGTTAAATTGCTCGCTCACCCCGCCCCTTCCAGGAGTCTTCACGCGCGCCCCATTTTGGCTCCCAGATAAGTGCAGGGAGGCCTACTACGCCTAAAACGGGCGTTTTAGGAGGCTTCAGGAAGGCCTTCTAGGCCCAAAACGGGGCGCAGGAGGGGCAGCGCAGCCCCCCCCGTGCCCCGTTTTCGCTCCCAGGAGGTTGCAGAAAGGCCTACCAGGCCCAAAATGGGGCATGGGGGGTGGTGTGTCCCCCTCCCCGGCAGCCCATTTTTGCTCCCAGGGAGGTGCAGGAAGCTGAGTGCTGCCTGTCACACACCCCTGGCCACGCCCACCATGGCCACGCCCACCCAGCCGGTCATTAAGGCAGACAACCGGTTGTTAAATTATTTGAATCCCACCACTGCTTGGGAACTTTAAGATATGTGGACCTCAACTTCCAGAATTCTCCCTGCTCATGTCTGGAGAATTCTGGGAATTGAAGTCCACACATCTTAAAGTTCTCAAGGTTGGGAAACACTGATTTAAAGGCAAATTAGCTGCAGTACAGCACAAGCCATCATGAGAGAAATTGAAGTCAGGCAATTTCCATTATAACATCCCCATACCATCTGTCATACCTTCCCTACTTACTGACACAGTTGTTAAAACATATCACTACAGTTGAATCGTGTGATTCATCTGGTTAAGCAAATTGTCAACCCACAGTCATTAAGCAAATCCAGCTTTCCCCATTGACACTGCTTTGTCAAGAAGCTGGCTGGAAAGTCGTGAATGGTAATTACATGACCCCCAGCACGCTGTGGTATAAAATTAGGCACAATTCCCTTAACAATCACCTTGCAACCATTGTAAATACGTGTGCCTGAATTTTGATCCTGTAACCATGGAGAAGCTGTGACAGTTATAAGTGTGAGGACTGGTTGTAAGCAGGGTGGATTTGATTTAAATCGAGTTGATTTAAATCACAATTTAAATCATGATTTAAATCACTAGTAAAAAGGCTTGATTTAAATCAACTCGATTTAAATCATAATTTTTAAAGAGCAACTGTAATTTCTGCTACTCCTTTGACCCACTGTTGACTCACCGATAGTCCCAGTGTTGCAGAATATACAGCCTCATGCTACATAACTAAGCTCCATTTCATGCTGAATAAACGAAATTATTTATGTATCTTAAATAGAAAACTATGTTACGATAGATTTTTACCCCAAAAGTTTTTTATTAATATAAATTTGATAAAAATAAAAAAAATCCGATTTAAATAAAAAAAATCCGATTTAAATAAAAAAAATCTGATTTTTTTGATTTTTTTAAAAAAAATCATTGATTTTTATCCACCCTGGTTGTAAGTTACTTTTTTCAGTGCTATTATAAATGTGAACAATCCCTAACCTTATAGTTGTTAGAGGTGGGAAATATTCCTTTGTAATGCTCCTTTACCTTAATCTTCTCATTTTCTGTGGCTTTTGCTAGCTGATCTACAAGTTCAATCAGGTTGCCCACTATTTTTTTAAATTCTGCAATTTCTGTAAAAAAGGAAGGAAGGCGTAAAAGAAAAGGTTTACATCCAACATCATCAGACAAGGGATGGTAAAGTTAATATGGCAATTTCTATTATAATTGTTTTAAGAGCGCTAGATCTTAATCACTCATTAAAGCGCCTCTGACAATATGCTCATCCAATCAAATAAAGACTTTTAGAAAGACATAAATCTCCACCAATGCTCACAAACATGAATATATTCTCCTGTATACAGGCCTACACAAGCACAAAAATAGATGTCACAAAGAGCTGCTCTTCCTTAAGGGGAAACCCTTTAACTTGATTTTGGAGATCAAGATTAAGATAATTCTCATTTTTGAAGGGCCCACCAGCCACAACAATTTGAACCCCTGCCCATAGGAAAAAAAAAAACATCCATTTCCCACATAAGGAAAGAGATCTCTGATGGTGTTGTGGTCCGCCAGCAGCCTGCGGAGCTGGCAGCAGAGTCAAACAGTGAGGCGGCTGGAGAGGAACATGGGTCAGTCCTGGAGTCTGGGGAAGGCCCGGACGAGGGCTCTGTGTCGGAGACAGAGATGGGGCCAGGGCCATCTGGAAGCGATGCACGGACTCCGGAGCCTCCAGAGTCGGACAGCAGAGAGGCAGAGGAACAGGAGGAGCCTGTTCCCAGTGTGCACATGCGCAGAGCTGCCAGAAGGCAAGAACAGTTAAAACAAAAGGGATGACTCGGGAGTAAGGCTTGGAGATGATTGGCCCCTCCCATAAGACTTAAAAGAGGAGCAGAGGCACACGGGCTCTTTGCAGGAAAGCAACATTATTAATTCTGTTCCCAGTCGGCATCTCTATTTGATTCTGGACTCCGTGTGGCTTTGCCAAGTAGGTATTTGGCAGGGTGTCAAGGGAGATAAAGGTTGGTGATTATCCCGAAGGACTTTTTGCAACTAACTGGGACTCAGCTGTGAATGAAAGTAATTCACAACTGTTGCAAGAAAAGAGGTTTTTGGGACTACTCGTGTGTTTTAATGATTCAGGAAGCCTAGGTCACAACAGATGGGCAGGCTACAAGGAACTTCAGAAGTGAGAGTTGAAAGATAGAAAGGGCCTGGTAGAAGTTGATAGGACCATATTTGGCCACAGTTCCAAACCCAGCTGGCCATGATATTCTTGGGTCCCAAAAGTCTTGGTCTCTGTCCTGGTCTAAATGATTTCATTTCTGCATGAAAGCTGGATCAGCCAGAAAGAAAACTAAAACATGGAGCCAGTTACGGCATCTTCCAGATGGGCTAAACTACAAGTCACTCCACAACCATCCCTTGCTAACCACATCTGTGCGAACGAGGCCTCCAACATCATCCTGACTCTGCTATGTGGAGGGGCAACTCTCTCTGCAATCAGCCATGAAGACTTACTGTCTACAAACAGTCTGCATTCCTCTTTCAGCTCTGTGGTTTGTTGGGCCACCTCTGGATCCAAAACCCTCAGTTTGTTCAGCTCGTCAAAGTGGAGACCTGCCTCTCCTAGGATGTCTTTTGCCATTATAAGCTCTTTTCAAGTGGCTGGAGAAACATCAAGATCCGGTTCCAGAGAGGAGGAAAGAGCAGGCCTCTGAAAATCAAGACATGAGGGTATTTTAGGAATTCTTCCATATTTTGCAAAACTAAATAAAACTTTCCTGGGGTAAAGAAACAGGCAATACCTCCAATTCCCTTTTAATGCCATTTTTAAAATCACTGTTCATAACGTTTATTATTGTAGATGATTATTCACAAGAATACTTTTCTTTTGCAACCTTGCATTTTTTTCTTGGGTTTCCTTAATAAATCTGGCCACTAAGCTTATTCCTGAATAAATGTCTTTAGGACTGCAGTTTGATTTGTGAGGGTTGTGATCCTACAGGCACATTTACTCGGCAATGAACAGAGTGATGCTATCAGCTGTCACCTTATGCCTTTAAGTTTGTGAAAAGTCCGAGAGATGTTTACTGCTGAGAAAACTACAAACCCGAACCACTAAAGAATATATTGTGAACATTTTTTTTTTCTGGGCTTCAATCCCTTTTGTTGGAAGGATTGGGGCAGGGGAAACCCCAGACTGGTAAATTTTAAAATCTTTTAATTATTGTGATGAAGGGGAATTGCTATTCCCTTGGGGGGGGGGGGGTGTCCAATATTTTACTATTCATACCCTGTCCTGCTGTCCCTTTTTTCTCGTATCCATTTTTCTCGTATCCATAAAAGTTTATACTTTTATCTGTTGTAGGATTGTACCCACCCTTTCCTGGAAGAATGAAATATTTTAGGAAATATTACAAAAGGCAGAATATTATGTTTCCCTGGATGAGAAATGGAGAAGCATGTTTTAAAGACAAAGCAGCTCCCACCTTCCTGCCCCCACCCTTTTGTTAATGGGCCAGAGGCAGAAACTCAATCTTTGTCAATGGACCTCATCTGCAAGACAATGGGACCCATCTAGGACAGAAACTCACCACATGGCACCTGGTAAGATTACATCAGCCAGCAAGGCTACCTAAGACCCTTACCCCCTAGGAGTCTGACAACCAATCAGGATACTTTCGGGGCCCCAGGAAGTTCAAAGCTGGAGAAAGTATAAAACCCGGGGACTTGCTGTATCTGGCCTCTCTTTTCTGTTCAGGAACTCAAGCCATGTGATCCTGTCCACCATTAAACCATCTTTCCAAGCAATCTCCATGTCTCCAGTGTCCTTTTCTCCACTTGGAGCTGAACCCAGAAGGATATTTCTTCCTACACTGTTATATATGCTTGACAAATAAATAAAATAAACATAAATAAACCCGCAATTTTTCATAGAGAATACAATATAGACAAGTCTCAAAAATGGGGTTCCCTTCATCCCAACACAGAGATGGGGAAAAAAATGGGACTCTCATTCAGGAAACAGCAATGCTTACAGCTGCCCCCCCCCCCCCCAGTGTCCTCCAGATGTGGAAGCCTTTGCCTCCCAGAATTCCTAGCCAATTACAGTAACGCAATTCTTTGTTTCCAGGAGCCACCCGACGTCATTCTCTACCATCGCTCCCTTGCAGCTGACATTTAATGACTGCTCCCGGATCTGGAGGCTCCATTCTAAGACATACAAGTAAGCAGCCTCCCCCACCGCCTTTTCTTTCCCACCCCACCTTTCCTTGGATCCCTCCCTACTTACCTGCAAGGGTCCCTAAAAGCTTCCCCGGTGCCCCAAGCTCGCCGCAGCCTCCAGCTGCCACGGCGACAGGAGAAACAACAGCAGCCGCCGCCGCCGCCGCCTCTGCCCCGCCCACGCGGCTTATTCCATGCGCTCGTAGGGGGGGAGAGAAAGGAGAGCGCCGGCTTCGCTTGGCATTCTGGGAACCGTAGTTCGGTGGGAAGAATCCAAAGCGGAGGAAGCGGAGGGGGGGTCGCCAGGCACGAGACGGATGATCCCGGAGAAGGGCTTTCGATCTATGACCCCAAAGATCTTATACAGAACTCGTTTGTTTGTTTGTTTGTTTATTCGATTTATACAGCCTCCCATCTCAGCCAAGTGATCTCAGCCGTTATAGTAACAGTAACAGAGTTGGAAGATTCTTGATGAACGCATCTTTTCTTTTATGTACACTGAGAGCGTATGCACTAAGACAAATTCCTTGTGTGTCCAATCACACTTGGCCAATAAAGAATTCTATTCTATTCTATTCTATTCTATTCTATTCTATTCTATTCTATTCTATTCTATTCTATTCTATTCTATTCTATTCTATTCTATTCTAACAGAGTTGGAAGGGACCTTGGAGGTCATCTAGTTCAGCCCCTTGCTCAAGCCATTTCAGACCCATTTCAGACAAGTGGCTGTCTAGTCTCTTCTTTAAAACCTCCAGTGATGGGAGCACCCACAACTTCCGGAAGCAACCTGTTGCAATGATTAATTGTTCTCAGGAAATTTCTCCTTAGTTCTATGTTGCTTCTCTCCTTGGTTAAGTTTCCACCCATTGTTTCTTTTTTTTTTCATTTTTTTTTTCATTTTTTTTAAACATAAAACATAAAAGACATCGTTTTAGAGCAAGGGTTTGGTCCGGCATAAAATGAGTACAATTATTCACATTCCCTCAATCAATTTTGTTCCAAATTTTATCCATTTACACCTTTTTAAAAAAAAAAGAAAAGAAAAAAGAAAAAAAAATCTTATTCTAAACATTTATCATCCTACTATTACACCCAAAATTCTAAACAATAAACACTGTTCTAAATCTTTATCATTTTAACAATCAATATTTCATATATATTCCTCAATCCTAAAACCCATTACCTCAAATCTATATTTTGCTTCTCTTAAATGACATCTAACATCCATAATGAGCCTTGATAGTACAGTGGTTTAGTGCACCCTGTTATTAACACAGCTGCCTGCAATTTCTGCTGGTTCGAATCTCTCCAAGGCTCAAGGTTGACTCAGCCTTCCATCCTTTCTAAGGTAGGTGAAATGAGGACCCAGTTTGTGGGGGCAATAAGCTGACTTTGTATAAAATATACAAAAGAATGAAGGCTATTGCTTAACGCATTGTAAGCCGCCGTGATTATTAATAATAATAATAATAATAATAATCTTGACAAAAAGTATTTTCCTCCTCTCTTAAAGTCATTTAATAAACAATCAACATTTCTTTCTATAGTTTCCACAATACTTTATTTTATTTATTTCAAGTTTATTCTCATATTTTATTAAGTCTAATTTTTAACTGGTTCATAGTTTAAATATCTATTTCCCAGCTGTATTTTCCAATACTCCTATCTGTATTTATTTAAACTGGTTCACAGTTTAGCTACTATTCTCCAGTAAAATCTCTTCCACTTCCTCCTAAATTTATTTTTTAGCTGGGTCACATCTTAATCAGCTGCTTTCCAGCAATGCTTTCCTCCACTCCTTATCTTAATTATTTTAGCTGGTTCACAGTATAATTTTAACTGCACACCAACTTTCCACCCATTGTTTCTTGTCCTGCCCTCTGGTGCATTGGAAAATAAGTTGACCGCCTCTTCCTTGTGGCAGCTGAGAATTGTAGTTCTAAAATTATAAAACAGTTAAAAACAGAACAAGAAAATATAAACACACAGCAGCCAAAATAGCGACCCAACTAACAGTAAAGCCAAGAAACGGAGCTCTTAACATCTACAGGTGCTAATGTAAGCATAGGTGCTCCAGAAAATGGAGCCCTTTTCTCAAGCCACAACATCACAATGAGAGGAAAACATGCTTGTCTGCAACCATAACTGAATTCACACAACACAAATAACCCGATCAATTGAAAACCTACCGGTAGCAGCTGTAACTGCACAACATGATAAATCTGGCTTGTAGTTTTTGTAGTTTAGCATGTTGTGTAAACCCAATTTTGTTTCCTGACCGTGTTGAGTTAATCCAAAAAGGGTTTAATTCAATCAGTCGTTTAAACCTGTCAACTAGCGTGCTGGACAACAAGTCAAGAATATAAGGCTGGAGTCCTAACTGATATTTTCTTAAACCAGGAACAAGCCCCAATCAATCCAGGGTAACTCAATTTTGAGTAGCCAAACAGGATCACAGGTAAAAAAAAAAAGTTTTTTTCCCCAGATTAGAAAAGTTGAAATCTTACACATTATTATCTCGATCAGCCTTAAGAAAAATATTGCCATATATTCTCCAGATGTACTTGATTGGTAATTATAGGAGTCGAAATTCAACCCATACGGATTGTTACCGATTTCTTTTAATGAATAAAACGCCTTTGCCATCATTTCCTGCCAGAAAGCGCTCGATAGCTCTGGCTTCGACCCGCGTGCCTGCCTGGATTGGCGAAAGACAGAGCCGTGGCTTGTCGGGAGATGTAGTTCCCGGTGGCCTTATATATATAAAACGTATATCTGGAATGGACGCCGGCGCGCAGGGCGTGCCGGGAGTTGTAGGCTGAGTTCTCGCGATTGGGAAGCCTGTTGCTGCAGCCCCAAGTTGGAGCTTCTCTCTTTGGCCGGACTTGAGAAGCCGAAGGCGCGTCGAGTCGCTCGGAGCCGGTTGAGGTCAAGTTCCGCTCCTTTGCCTGGCCGTCGCTCGGGGGTCCCGCGGAGCCATTGGTGGCCTAGTGTGGGAGCAGCGCGGGGCGGCTCGGAAGCAGGTAAAGAAAAGACCCAACGGTTGGCAGGGCGAATCAGGGGTGGGAGGGCCCGCGTTTGGGGCAAGAGACTGGGGAAGTGAAGTTGATTCTGTATTTGGGGACGAGAGGTTTGAGATAAAGCGAGGTAGGCGGGAGTGAGGGCAGGCTGGGTGAAAGACTTTTTCCTTTTTATTTACAGTATTTGTATAATTTATAGCCCCCTCCCAGCCTCTTTTAGCGGCGGTAGAGAGGAGTCTGTAGATAGGCGTTTGGAACAGGCTGGAGGTGGGGAAACGCTACACCTGTTGAAGGGTAGCCCAGAGTTCAAACCCAGGAGGAGATCATGGTGAGGGCCACTTGGTCATTTTGAATAAGGTCGAAGAGGGAAATTAGTGAATATGTTACATTGGGTATATTAAGTCTTAAAATGAGATTAAATGAAACATAAGGATTCTTCCCCACTCCTGGTCTTAACTATGCTACTTTTGGTACTATGCCCCCAACGTGCATTCAGAAGCAAGTATGCTCCTTCGCATGAAAACAGTTGGGGGCACCCTTCTGTAAATACAGCCAGGATAGCAATAGCACTTAGACTTATATACCGCTTCACGGTGCTTTCTTTACAGCCTTCTCTAAGCGGTTTACAGAGTCAGCATATTGCCCCCCAACAATTTTGGGTCTTCCTTTTACCCACTTCGGAAGGTGAGTCAACCTTGAGCCTGGTGGGATTTGAACTGGCAAATTGCAGTCAGCCGGCAGTCAGCAGAATTAGCCTGCAGTACTGCACTCTAACCACTGTGCCACTGTGGCTCATGGATGGTGTAGTGGTTAAAGCATTGGATCAGAACTGGGGAGACTTGGGGGGAAGTCCAAACGCAACCATGGAAGTGAGGGGTTAGCTCAGATAGATGTATCTGGCAGGGTTTTGTTTTTTGTTTTTTTAATTTGATCTATATGCCGCCCTTCTCCGAAGACTCAGGGCGGCTTACAATGCGTTAAGCAATAGCCTTCATCCTTTTGTATATTTATACAAAGTCAGCTTATTGCTCCCACAGACTGGGTCCTCATTTCACCTACCTTAGAAAGGATGGAAGGCTGAGTCAACCTTGAGCCTTGGCGAGATTCGAACCCTGCAATAATTGCAGGCAGCTGGTCTTAATAACCAGCTTAATAACAGGGTGCCTTAAACCCCTGTACTACCAAGGCTCTTGGGTTGAGGAAACTCTTTGGGGATTATAGAAAGGGAGCAGTGGTGAAATCCAATTTTTTTTACTACCGGTTCTTTGGGCGTGGCTTGGTGGCCATGGTGTGGCTTGATGGGCGTGGCTTGGTGGCCATGGCAGGGGAAGGATGCTGCAAAAATCTGCATTCACTCCTGGGGGAAGGATATTGCAAAATCTCCATTCCCACCCCACTCTGAGGCTAGTCAGAGGTGGTGTTTGCCGGTTCTCCGAACTGCTCAAAATTTCCGCTACTGGTTCTCCAGCACCTGTCAGAACCTGCTGGATTTCACCCCTGGGAAAAGAGCCACCTGGACAGAAGATGAGATCGAAATCTAAATACAGGTAATCCTCAAATTATGACTGTAATAGAACCTGCCCATTACAGTCGTCAATCAGGTCACTCAGGTGACCGACCTGATTTTATGACCTTTTTTTGCAATGGTTGTCACATGACTGCAGGGGACGGGGTGACCATCTGAACTTTTGAATCCAGGTCATCAGATCTGTGAGAGCAACTGGCCATAAGACAAGGACTACTTGTCCAAACCCTAAAAGAAAAAGCATGAACAGAAAATCCGATCTATGGTAAATAGAACAAAAGGAGCTTTCGGCAGGAGCTGTACAAAAATAAGTGGCCATTTGGATCCCACCCTTGAACTGAGTCCCAGTATTCTTATACAGATAGTCCTCAACTTACAACAGTTTATTTAATGATGGTTCAAAGTTACAACGGCACTGAAAAAAGTGACATGACCATTTTTCACACTGTTGGAAGAGCCTTCTCTGTGGCGGCACCCGCCCTTTGGAACGACCTACCCCCAGAGATACGTACGATCCCAGATCTCTGGACTTTTCGTCGGGCCCTTAAAACTCACTTATTTCATCTAGCTGGGCTGGCTTGATCCCATCTTTCGGTTTTAACTCGTAATTGATTTTATTGGGGTGTTTTTAAATTGTGGGCCGAAACTATTTAATACCTTTTTAAATTGTTTTAAATTTTGTATGCTATGTTTTTACCTTGGCTGTTCACCGCCCTGAGTCCTGCTGGAGAAGGGCGGTATAAAAATCAAATAAATAAAATAAATATCCAGGTCCAGGTCCAAGCCAGGAGAAAGGCACTGGAAATAAAATGGAGGCTGATTGGAAAGAAATGTTCCCTTTATTGATGAAGCAGAATCACCAACCGTATGTGATTCTGGGACAGCTGACAAAATGGAGTTTAGAGCGGGTGGGTTTTTATAGCTTCTGGATTCCTATGGGGTCATGTAGGGGTCATGGCTGGCTCTATAGGCAAAAGGGGAAATGCAAATCCTAGGTGTTTATCTGAGCTAATTTTGTCAACCTTTGGTTTGATTGTGTTGCTTTATTGTGTTGCTTATCTGAAGTTTCTGCCTTTTTAATATTCTCCAAAATATTTTATTCTTCGGAGAGGGGTGGGCTTCCCACAACACTTACGACCTTTATAGCAGCCCCATGAATGATCATGTGATCAAAGTCCAGATACCTGACAATTGATTCATACTTACAACCATTCCTGTGTCCCAAGGTCACGTGATTACTTTTTGGAACTTTTTGACAAGCAAAATCAACAGGGAAGCTAAATTCGCCTAGCAGCCGTGTTACTAACTTATCAACTCCAATGATTCACTTAACAACTGTGGCAAGAAAAGCCGTAAAATGGGACAAAACTCATTTAACAAATGTCTCAGCTTTAACAACAGAAATGTTGGGCTCAATTGTGGTCATAAGTCGAGGACCACCTGCAGTTTCAGTAGTTACTGGTATCACCAGGACAGCTTACATTTCCAAATTACCTTGATGCTGAACAACTACCATGTTTCCCCAAAAATAAGACCCCGTCTTATATTTTTTTGAACCCCGAAATAAGCGCTTGGCCCTGTTTTCAGGGAGGTCTTATTATTTTGGGATGCATGGAGCAAGATGGGGCTCTTCTTGCTGTCTTACCTGATTTCCAGCTCTGCGTTTAAATATTTTTGGAGAGGGCTTATTTTTGGGAGGCTTATTTTAGCGCATGTGCTCAAAAGCCCGATTGGGCTTATTATCAGGGGATGTCTTATTTTTGGGGAAACAGGGTAATTGAAAATGTTCAGACACAATGTGAATGGTAGCCTAAAATTGCTATACAGGAATTCCTCACTTAACACAACTTGAATTGAGATGATCAATTCGGTCATTGAGCAAAGCAGTTGCTAAGTGAAACATGATTTGATGGCCTCACATCTGCTTTCTTTGGCTTTACAGACCTGTTGAAGGTTGTAAAGGCGAGGATTGGTTGCAAAGTTAGTTTTTCATTAATGCTGTAAATGCGGTTGCTAAATGAAGACTACCTGTAAAAGCTGCCAGTTTAAAACAGGACTGGAAAAATTTACCTTGTTAAAATATTCCATGAATCTGAAGACAAATTCATGAGATATTTTAGTGTGTGTTTGTGTACGCAGAATCAAAATGTCACTAAGGAAGGGGTTGACTTGATGGCTTCCAGGTGTATCTGGATTACATGGCCCATCATGCTGAACTATGGCTGGTGATAGGAATTACCATACAAGCATATCAGAAGGGCAACTTGCTAAGGCAGGGGTCCTCAAACTTTTTAAACAGGTGGCCAATTCACGGTCCCTCAGACTGTTGGGGGGCTGGACCAACTGGGTGGGCATGGCTAGGTCATGTGACTAGGTGGGTGTGGCCAATTTAACAGTCCATTAAACAATGCACACAAATTAAACATAAAATTTATTTTGCTCCTGGGGGTGTTTTATTTGCTTTTGTTTGCATGTTGCTCTTTTGGTTGACTTTTCTTTTTACTGGGTCATTTTTTCAGTTGTTTAGGAGTCTAGTGGTCCATTTCGGAAAACTCAGTTTTGCAGCAATTCTTCTCAGCCCCAAGGAGCTCTCTCTGTCTCTCTTTCTGTCTTTCTCTCTCTCCTCTCTCTCTCTCTCTCTGTCTATCTATCTTTATCTTCTGGAGGTGGGAGAGGCCCGTTTTTTTTGCCTTCTGGGGCATCTGTATGCCCCGTTTCTTACCTCCCCCACCTCCAGAACATCTCTGCAAGCCAAAATTGTTGGCCTTACTTTTCAGTTCTAGCCTGCGGGGCTAGCGAAAGTAAGTCCTGCACTCTGCCAAAGGGTGGGCGGGGCAATGTGGGTGGGGCAGCCTTGTCCTCCGCGGGCCAGATTAATAGCTTCGGTGGGCCGCATGCGGGCCGTAGTTTGACGACCCATGTGCTAAGACAGGGGTGGGCAATTATGGCCCCTTTACGACTTGTGGACTTCATTTCCCAGAATTCCTGAGCCAACCATGCTGGCACAGGAATTCTGGGAAATGAAGTCCATAAGTCGTAAAGGGGCCATAATTGCCACCCCTGTGCTAAGGTGTACATTGATAGCTTTTTTCCCCCCCTCAAAAATGGAGAACCAAGTGTATTTCAAAATTAGTGGACAATAAGAATAGAATAGAATAACAAGAGTTGGAAGAGACCTTGGAGGTCTTCTAGTCCAATTCCCTGCTTAGGCAGGGAACCCTATACTATTTCAGACAAATTCAGTGATGGGATTAAAGTAATTTAACAACCAGTTCTCTGCCCTAATGATTTCTTCCAACAACCAGTTTGCCAAACTGCTCAGAAAGTTAACAACCGGATCTCTCGAAGTGGTGCGAACTGGCTGAATCCCATCACTGGACAAATTGTTATCTGAAACAGGTAGGATTGGTAAGTGAATTTTGAAAAAAATGCGGCCAAATTTTAGCAATGTGATCTGTAAAAGCGGCAGAGCTAGCGAGCTGGGAGCGTAAACTGCCGTATAGTTCCCACCTGTGCTACTGTATGTGGGGCCTCAGGAGAAGACAGCTACATCTATGGCAGGGCTCTCCAACCTTGGCAACTTTAAGCCTGATGGACTTCAACTCCCAGAATTCCCCAGCCAGCAAAGCTGGCTGGGGAATTCTGGGAGTTGAAGTCCACCAGGCTTAAAGTTGCCATGGTTGGAGAGCCCTGATCTATGGCATATCTAGACTGGCAACCTAGAACTGCCCAGAATGCTTAGCCATGATGTAGCTTAAGGACTGGAGCATTGGATTTAGATTAGGGAGAGCCGGATTCAAGTCTACCCAAAGGGGCCCAGCCCAAGAAATTATTTGAATGCCCTTGGCTCTGCTTCTCTCGCTCGGCCTTCCTGCTGCAAGGCAACAGGACCTCATCTGTTGCCGGTTGAAAATGTGATAAAACATTAATTCTTTTCCTGGCTGCTCTTCCTCCCCCATTGAAGCCAAGTTTTGGAGTTGCAAAATTGTTAAACTATATATATATATTTTTCCTACCAGAGGCTTCAAGCAGGATTTTCTGTGGGAAGGAAAGAGCCCCACTGGATTAAATGAGCATTTCACTCTGAAAATGGCCACGAGAAAGACCGAGTGTTGTGATCTCTGGTAGAGAGGTGGCTCTTTTGTGGGCTGAGCGACGGAAGAAAGAAAAACCCCTTTGCCACCTTTTTTAGAATTCTGCCTTACAAGGTAGTCCTCATTTAGTGACTGCCTTGCACGACAACCGCTTGCAATTAGGATGGATGATGGAAAAAGTAACTTTGGGGCCAATTCTTGCATTGACAATCTTTGCAAAAAAAAACAAAAAAAAAAACAAGGAAAGTTGAAGTAAAATGGTAAAATTGCGATATTTCACTCAGAATTAGAATTAGAATTCTTTATTGGCCAAGTGTGATTGGACACACAAGGAATTTGTCTTGGTGCGTATGCTCTCAGTGTACATAAAAAAGTTACGTTCATCAAGAATCATAAGGTACAACACTTAATGATAGTCATAGGGTCCAAATAAGCAATCCGGAAACAATATCAGTATAAATCGTAAGGATACAAGCAACAAAATTACAGTCGTACAGTCATAAGTGGAAGGAGATAGGTAGTGGGAACGATGAGAAGGTTAATAGTAGTGCAGATTAAGTAACTAGTTGTTGAGTGTTAAGAGAATTATTTGTTTAGCAGAGTGATGGCATTCGGGAAAAAACTGCTTTTGTGTCTAGTTGTTCTGGTGTGTAGTGTTCTTTTAGCGTTGTTTTGAGGGTAGGAGTTGAAACAGTTTATGACCAGGATGCGAGGGGTCTTAGCAGTCGCTTCATTTAATGACCATGCTGCCAATCCCAGTTGTCACAAAATGAGGACTACCTATATTTATCAAATTGAGCAAAGTAGCTTCAGGACCTTTATTGGACTCTGGCCCGCTCTAGCATCTTCAGTGTATCAAAATAGGACACCAAAAAGTGGCAGGACCAGTCATAAGTCAGTTTCTCTGGTACCGTTGTAACTTCGAACAGACGCTAAACAAGTTGTAAGTCGAGGACTACCTGTGAATCCAGGGGGCTCCGGTGGTGAATGAAACCTCCAGCACCCTCAGTCAGCATGGTCAGGGACAAGCGCAACACTCACATTGTCAAGCTTGTCAAGTGACTGATTGTTTTGGAAACCTGAGAAAACTGAAACTTATATTTGGGTGAAAAGCCCGGGAACTTTAGTACTGGCTTTTCACCAGTTAGTGCCAATAAATTTGTACTTTGAGAAGTACTCCAGAATGCCTCAGAGTTCAGTTTATGATGGATGCATTACTTGGAACCTGATGCACATCACATCTCTCTGTCTTTGCAACTCAAATTGGGTAAAAATGGCCATTTCTCAGTTTGGTTATCCGCCATAATCTTTCCTGAATGCCATCCAGTTGGCACTTGAAACAAGCTCAGGCTGGCCCTGTTGGAAACAGAAACTTGTTGTGACGCTGGGTATTTCCAGTTTATTACTTTTTATAAAAGGCAATTTAAAAAAAGTTTAAAAAACAAAACAAAAAAACAAAGTTCAACAGGGAGGAAGGAAAGGAAATGTTCCTATTGTTTGAGAGAGGCTGAGTCAGAGGCATTGCGTCATCCTTCAGGGCTGGAAACTCTCACCCCACCCCACTCCCCCAATCTTCCTGCTGCCCCTTTGAAATGGACTTTGGTCTCCTATCCAGAAGTTAGTTTAAGGATTGCCTTGGTTGCGGATACAGCTTTAAACAACAGGTACCTCTTTTTTTCCTTCATTTCTCAAGATCATTTCTATATCCCAGGTACCCTCTTAGTTGGATTGGTTAGATCGGGACATCCCATTAAATTTAAGCAAAGATTCATTGCCATTTACAAGGGCGGGGAGGAACTTTTGTCTTCCACTGGAATGAAGTACCTCTGTTGAACGTTTCCGGAAAACAGGAGGTGTGTTTTATTTTTTCAGAGCCACGTAACTTTCATAATTTGTTTTAAAAACTGTCTGACATGGGGATCTATGTGTGATTGTATATGTGTCTATTTTCCCTTTAAATCCACTTTTCCTATATTCTTCAATTAGAGAGAAGTTGACTCTGTCGGGTGGGGAACGATGGCTCCTTTACGACTTGTAGACTTCAAGTCCCAAAATTCCTGAGCCAACCAGGAGTTGAAGTCCACTGGTGTAAAGGGCCCATCATTCCTGCTATATGATGCCATTTATAGGTACTAGACCAGTGATGGCTAACCTTTTCTGGACCGAGTGCCCAAAGCATGTGAACCCCCAAAATGCAATGTGCGCGGAGGCCCCGCGCATGCCCACAAGCCCCCCCGCCCCCTGCACACAGCCCGCCCCCCCATGCATGTGCAACAGAGACGCTGTTTCATATTTTTTGGAACCCTGAAATAAGCGCTTGGCCTTATTTTCGGGAAGGTCTTATTATTTTGTGGCGCATGGAGCAAGACGGGGCTCCTCTTGCCATCTTACCTGATTTCCAGCTCTGTCTCCCTAACCCTAACCAGAGGAAATGGCAGGGACCGGCTGCACATGCATTTAAATATTTTCAGGGAGGGCTTATTTTTTGGGGGGGCTTATTTTAGCGCATGCGCTCAAAATGCGACTGGGCACTCCCATGTGACTCCTCTCCTGCGCGAGCTGCATTGGCTTCCGGTGGACTTCCGGGTGCGCTTCAAGGTGTTGGTGATCACCTTTAAAGCGCTCCATGGCTTAGGGCCAGGGTACTTACAGGACCGCCTTCTGCCACCAATAGCCTCCCACCAGCCGGTTCGCTCCCACAGAGAGGGCCTCCTCAGGGTGCCGTCGGCTAGACAATGCCGGCTGGCAACCCCCAGGAGGAGAGCCTTCTCTGTGGTGGCACCTACCCTTTGGAACAATCTACCCCCAGAGATACGAGTGATCTCCGACCTCCGGACCTTTCCTCGGGCCCTAAAAACTCATCTCTTTCAGTTAGCTGGTCTCTCTTGATTTTATGATTTTATGGTTGAGTTTAAATTTTGATATGGATTTTAAATTGATAAATTTTAAACTATGGGCCAAATTTAATTATTTTAAATCTATTTTTAATCGTATTTATGTATAAATGTTTTTATTTTGGCTGTTCACCGCCCTGAGTCCGAAAGGAGAAGGGCGGTATAGAAATTCGAATAATAAATAAATAAATAAATAAAAAGCCCGATTGGGTTTATTATCAGGGGATGATGTCTTATTTTAAGGGAAACAGGATACATCCTCAAACCCTCACAGCTTCAACCTTAAACTGTCTACTGTGGACCTCACCCCATTCCTAAGAGGTCCGTAAAGGGGGCGTGCATAAGCACACCAGCTTGCCTACTGTCCCTGTGCTAATGTCCTCATTTATTTGTATTCATTTCCTTCGTTCATGTCCATGTTCATATTTATACCTGCTAATCTGTACATGTTTGACAAATAAATAAATAAATAAAAGCTATCCAGAGCCTGGATAGCTCTGCAGACAAGGCACTGTAATTTAACACCAGCTGTCTGCAATTAAAGTAAGTTCGAATCTTGCCAGGCTCAAGGTTGACTCAGCCTTCCATCCTTTCTAAGGTAGGTAAATTGAGGACCCAGATTGTGGGGGCAATAAGCTGACTTTGTATAAATATACAAAAGGATGAAGGCTATTGCTTAACGCACTGTAAGCCGCCCTGAGTCTCCAGAGAAGGGCGGCATATAAATCAAATAAAAAAACAAAAAAAAAACGATGACTGATAAGAAACAGGCTGTGCCTCTGAACGTGTTGTGTGAACCCAGCCCAACACAATCATTTCACCCAACAACAGTGAAACAAATCTCTCTTTTTCTCTCTCTCTGCTTTTAGAGTCTCTCAGCTCGGGGGCCTGCGACTTCCAAGGTGTTCTTGAATCCAGTTGGAGACCCCCACGGTTTTCCCCTCCAACCACGGCGGAGTCGGTGAAGCCCACCCACTGCCGTGTTGTCATCTATTTGCAGAAGGAGATGTCCGGTGACACCTGCTTAACCACCCTCTGCCCTGCTTCGGGAGCGAAGCCGAAGAGGTGCAGCGTCAAAATCGGCACCCTTGGCAATAAGTACGTGCGGCTGAATGTCGGGGGCTCCTTGTATTACACCACCGTGCAGGTGCTGACCCGCCATGACACCATGCTGAAAGCCATGTTCAGCGGGAGGATGGAGGTGCTCTCCGACAAGGAAGGTGGGTACCGATGAAAACCAAGAAAGCTGATAAACCCCTTCATCAAAACATGCCACCAACTCCCCTTCTAATCACAACTCTGTAATCAAGGATCATTTAGCCCAGTGATGGGTAACCTTTTTGGTGCCAAGTGCCCAAAGCACACATGTGCCAGAACCCCAAAAATGCAATGTGAGCCCCCTGCCGTGCATGAGCCCCGCCCCCCTGTATGCATCCCGCCCCCCTGCCCCCCTTTGGGCCGGGAAAGCCCCCTGCACCAACCTGCCCAACCCAGCCCATGTGACCGGAGAAAGCGAGGCCCCCCCCCCATTCGCCCCACCCCCAGCGCATGCATTGCAGAGACCCGAAGACCAGCTGGCCAGTGGGACAGTGGTGGGTTCCAACCGGCGTTACCACCGGTTCTATTCATGCACGCGCTTTGTGGCCGTCCAGTCTCTTCTTAAAAACTTCCAGTGATGGAGCACCCACAACTTCTGGTGGCAAGCTGTTCCACTGGTTGATTGTCCTCACTGTTAGGAAGTTTCTCCTTAATTCCAGGTTGCTTCTCTCCTTGATTAGTTGCCATCCATTGTTTCTTGTCCTGCCCTCCGGTGCTTAAACTGATTGAGTTGTTTAACCCTCTGTCACTTAGTATAAGACTTCGTTTAATTTCAAGATAAAATAAAAAATATTCGTGCTTTTTGGCTTTGCATTTTTGCAAACGCGTCTCGAGCAGCTCTTGCAGAATATTCTATTGTGAAACAGGATCAGTTACGTTTGTGGGTCACCTCTGGTGGGAGCAGAATGGGGGTGTTGCATCCATTTTGACTCTCTTGATCTCTTAGCACGGGCATTCCTCTGTACTGGTTCCAAAGGTTGGGAATGGGAGATACAGTTTTGTATGGCTTCTCCTCTTTCTTTGGGTTCTAGTTGGCGTTGGTACAGGTAGTCCTCCGCTTACAACCACAATTGAGTCAAAATTTCTGTTACTAAGTGATATATTAAGTGAGTTTTGTCCCATTTGATGGGACAAATCAAGGATTACCTGCAAATCTAATTAATTAAAGTTATAATTGGCCTCTTCTGAGATCTGTTTGCAGCCTGTTCAGAATTATCACCCAAGACTAGGCAAGTTTTCCTATTTCTACAAGTCGTCTTGGTAGAAAATAAAGCTCTGTGAAATAATTTTTCCACCTGCTTTGCTTGAAACCCGAGGCCCGCTGTTTCTTTCCCAGGTTGGATCCTGATCGACCGCTGTGGGAAGCATTTTGGAACCATCTTAAATTACCTTCGGGACAACACGGTCATTCTACCCAAGAACCGGCAGGAGATCAAGGAGCTGATGGCTGAAGCCAAATATTACCTCATCCAGGGCTTGGTGGACCTCTGCCAAACAGCCTTGCAGGTAAGAGAGCTGCACACAGTGAACGGTAAATGCTGAAGAGAAGGAAGGGACCCTGGAGGTCATCCAGCTCTACCCTTTTACTCAAGGCAAGAATCCTACTCGAAAAAAGTCCTTGATAGGGGACAACCAGTGTATATTTAAAGTTTTTTGGGGAAGGACAGACTGCAATCTACCATGTACATTATTATTCTAGAGATGGGGGCTCTTGTGGCCACTACCCCCAGTCCTGAATTTCAGGCCTTCAAACCACCCCACCCCAATGTACTACAACAAATCTTTCAGGTACTCTGTTTTAAAAAAGAAAATTGTGTCTTCATCCTTTAAAGCCTAAAAATCTGAAGAGGTTCCTCAGATATCTCTTCATGGCATTCTCATGCCTTCTTTGAAAAGTGGGGGGTGGGGGAGAAATTAACCATCAAAATTCTCTGCAAGGTTTAAGACAGGGGTGTCCAACTGGATTTCTTCGCGGGGTTGGATCAGCATTGTAGTTCTCTGCAGGCCAGGGGGGCAGCGGGGGGAGAGACCGGACGGACGGCTCCTGAAGCACTTTACTGGTCAAAACGGGGTGCAGGAGGGTGCACGGTCCCCCACACCTCATTTTTGCCCTCCCCAACCTCCATTAGTATTCTGCCGGCCAAAACCAGGCTGCACTGAGGCCTCCTGAGCTCCCCCACCCCGCGGCCCATTTTCAGCCTCCCCAGCCTCCAGCAGCACTCTGCTGTCCAAAAACAGGCCACACAGAGGCCTCCCGAGCTCCCCCCTACAGCCCGTTTTGGGCCTCCCCATCCTCCAGCAGCACTCTGCCAGCCAAAAACGGGCCACACGCAGCCCATTTTGGCCAGCAGTGGCACCACGCGCTGGTCCTTTGATATTTCCAGGTCGGCCCTGTGGGCCGGATTTAAGCACCCCGAGGGCCAGATTTGGCCTGCGGGCCTCGAGTTGGACACCCCTGGTTTAAGACATAAATTATGTCCTGCAACAGCCTGCTCCCAACATCTTAGCAAAAAGAAAAATGAAAAAGCCAGATATGCTTTCTAACTTAAATCTTCATTTCTGCCATTCAGAACAATGAGATTCCAGAGGCAGTGGCAGTCTACCCTGCTTTAATCTTTCTGGATGTGTGCAATTCTGTTTGCAGGACAAGAAAGAGAGCTACTACCCAATCTGCAATATCCCTGTCATCACGTCTCCAAAAGAGGAAGAGAGGCTCATTGAATCAGCCATGAAGGTACTGAGGGGGGCCTGAGGAGAGAATGAGCAGACGAAAAGGGCCAATTCACACATTACGGGTAGTCCTCAATTTACAACCACAATTCAGCCCAAAATTTAGGTTGCTAACTGAGAAATTAAGTAATTAAGTAATTAATTGTTAAGTAAGTTTTGCCCCATTTTACGACACTTCCTGCCACAGTTGTTAAGCGAATCATTGCCGTTAAGTTAGTAACCCGGCTGTTAAGTGAACCTGGTTTCCGCCATAAATCTGCTTGTCAGAAAGTCGCAAAAAGGTGATCACATGACCCCAGGAACACTACGACCGTCATAAATGTGAGTCAGTTGTCAAGTGGCTGGATTTTGATCATGTGACATGGGGATACTACAGTGGTCACAAGTGTGAAATATGGTCATAACTCACTTTTTTCAGGGCTGTTGTAACTGCGAACGGTCATCGTGAACTGTTGTAAGTCAAGGACTTATCTGTACAGTCCCAAAGGTGCTTTTTTTCAAGAGGCAACTTTCTGGTTTTTCTTTGAAGATGTTTTGCTCTCTCAGAGCTGAAGAAGCTTCTCGGATGAGAAGTGAAACATCTTCAAAGAAAAACCAGAAAGTCCAGTTGCCTCTTGAAAAAAAGCACCTTTGGGACAACCATGACCTGGATGACTGAGCATCTCCAGAGACATTCACACATTACACTAATCTAGGAGACGAGAATGTCCAGCATGTGGGCTGCCCTTTTTGTCCTAATGTAGGTAGTCCTTGACTTATGACCATTGGTGTAGTTTGGAGTTACAGTAGCATTGAAAAAAAGTGACTTACAATTAGTCCTCGCACTTACGACTGTCACAGCATCCCCACAGTCATGGGATGAAAATTCAGACACTTGGCAACCAACATGTATTTATGATGATTGCAGCATCCCTGGATCATGTGATCATCATTTGTGACTTTCCCAGCCAGCTTCCGACAAGCAAAGTCACAGGGAGAAACAGTATTGGTTTAACGACCACATGATTCACTTAACAACTGCAGCAGTGGTGAAATCCAATTTTTTTTTACTACCGGTTCTGTGGGCGTGGGGTGGCTTGGTGGCCGTGGCTTGGTGGATATGGCAAGGGAAGGATACTGTAAAATCTCCATTCCCACCTCACTCCAGGGAAAGTAGACTGCAAAATCCCCATTCTCTCCCCCTCCTGGGGGAAGGATATTGCAAAATCTCCATTCCCACTCCACTTTGGGGCCAGCCAATGGTGGTATTTGCCAGTTCTCCAAACTACTCAAAATTTCCACTACCGGTTCTCCGAACTGCTCAAAATTTCCGCTACCGGTTCTCCAGAACCTGCTGGATTTCACCCTTGAACTGTAGTGCTTCACTTAACAGCCATATTAGAAAGCTCATAAAATTGGGGGCAACTCACTCAAACAACCTCCTTGTTTAACAAGGAAAAATCTGGTCCAATAAATTGAGAATTATCTATATTTTAAAAAAAGCAAAATCCGCTTAAGTGCAGTGATTCACTTAACATTGATGATGAAAAAGGTTGTAAAATCACTTAACAGCTGCCTTGCTTAGCGACTGTAGAAATTCTGCTGCTAATTGTGGTTATAAGTTGAGGACTACCTGTAGACTTGTTAAGATTGTTTACAATACTTAAAACAGTATTTTACCCTTTAAAAAAACCCAAAACCTCTAAGTCTAACATAAGGCTCTTCACTTTAGGTTTGGTGTGGTCCTTGAGCTAACGGAGGGTAAGCAGCACCTGCTCCAAGCCAGAGTCACCCAAAACCTGGCTTGGCACCACATGTGAAGCCATCCAAAGTCTCAGCCACTTGTCTTCCTTATCAGTGGCTGGGAGACTGAACTTTGTCATGGCATCTGAAGAATGAGGAAGAGGAAAAAGGAGGCGCCGTTAAGCTTTTAAATATCAATATTTTCCATGCTACTGAACACCACCTGGGGGTGATCTGAAGAAGGACCATTGTGGTTTACCCTTTTCAGCTCAAAAGTTTTCAGGTTTATGGCAGATAAAACCACTTTTATTATTTTTGGACTCTGCTGCTTGGGGGAACACACGGGGGGGGGATTTGCTAGAGGTTTAGTTTTAGTTTTAGTTTATTGTCATTGCACCCCGTACAACGAAATTAAATGCCACCTTATTTATTTATTTATTTATTTATCTATCTATGTATCTATTTATCAAATTTCTACCGCCCTATTCCCAGAGGACACAGGGCGGTGAACAGCCAAGATAAAATACAGATAATACAAACATTAAAAGTCCATTAAAATTATTAAATATTTTGGCCGAAAAGCAAATTTAAAACACCCAATTTATAAAACAAATCAAACGATTTAAAAATTTAAAAGGGAGAGTTAGGCCAGGCCAGCCTGCTGAAATAAAAAAGTTTTGAGAGCACGACGAAACGTGCGCAGATCCGGGATCCTCCGTATCTCTGGGGGGAGCTCGTTCCAGATGGTAGGTGCCCCCACAGAGAAGGCTCTCCCCCTGGGGGCCGCCAGTCGACACTGTTTGGCCGACGGCACCCTGAGAAGCCCCTCTCTATGGGAGCCTACTGGTCGGTGGGAGGCTATTGGTAGCAGAAGGCGGTCTCGTAAATACCCCGGTCCGATGCCATGGAGCGCTCTAAAGGTGGTAACCAAAACCTTTAGTGTACATAATGTACATCTTTAGTGTACATTATAACTCTAAAAATAAAACACAAACACACATCCTTCACCTTCTATACAATTGAATTGAAAACCCCCTGATATTGCATTAATATTGCACTATACAGTAGAGTTCAATATAGTTACTGCCCTGGGATAGAAGCTGTTTTTCAGCCTATTTCTCCTTGATTTTATTATCCTGTACTGTCTGCCAGATGTAATACTTCAAAAAAACTAGGTGGGTAGAGTTAATGATCGGGGGCCCCTCCAAAGTAGACTGGGTTGCCCATTTTTCCCCTTTCTCCTCCAATTAAGATTCCCCAATTTAGGAAATAATTTGCAAAGGAGTAGCCATGCCTATCATTAATTAATTCATGAATGAATGAATGAATGAATGAATGAATGAATGAATGAATGAAAATTTATATGGCCACCCAACTCACTCTCAGAGACTCTGGGCAGTTTGCAATGATAAAGTATATTGTTCTTTCTATTGTTTCTTTGGAGCTACTCCAGGAACATCCAAGTGAAGGGCAAAAAAGTCAAGATGGCAGCCGTGCCTTTGTCTCCTCCCTCTGCAGAAGCAGCAGAGCTGTTCCACGGCACTTTTTTTAAAAATTCCCAACGAGGAAAGCTGTACAGACTTTTGAGTCTCATCTACGTCAAACGGCCTCCTAAAGGATTTCATATGCTTTTAAAAGAATCAGAGGGTTACACATTTTCCTAGACTGATTTGCTTAATGATTGCATGATTCACTTAACAACTGCAGTGATTTGCTTAACCATGGCAAGAAGATCCCATACCATTGGGTGATAGTCACTTAACCACTGCTTTGCTTAACAACAGAAGTTCTGGTCTCAGTCTAACAGACATTAACAGAGTTGGAAGGGAGCTTGTAGGTCATCTAGTCCAACCCATCAGCCAAGGGCCCAGGGGAGGGGCGATGATTATTAAAGAAAGTCTTAGTCCGAGGGAGGCCACTGTTCTTCAGATAGCCGGCTGTGAATCCCTCCTTGTGAAGTGGGGTCATGGGGTGCAGATGGGTTTGTTGACTGTATACCTGGCTCCCTGCCACGTGACAGCAGTCCTGCCTGAGCTGCTAGACGTAATAGCCGGGGTGGCGGTGGATACCCCCAGGCTTCTGGTCATGGGAGATTTCAACCTGCCATCCGTCGGTGAAACGTCAGAAGCAGCTCGGGAGTTCATGGCTTTCATGACAGCCATGGACCTGACCCAGTTAGTTCATGACCCCACCCACATCGGGGGACACACGCTGGACTTGATTTTTGTGTCTGGTCAGTGGTTGAATGATCTCACAATAGGGGACCTAGTTATTAAGCCCTTGTCATGGACAGATCATTCGCTCCTTCAGCTAGACTTTCGAACCGCTTCCCCTCGTCGCAGGGAGATGGAACCGACCAAGTGGTTCCGTCCCAGGTGCCTGATGGACCCCAAGAGGTTCCTGATGGAGCTTGGGCCATTCCCAGAGACTCTGACTCACGACTCGGCTGAGGAACTGGTGGCCGCCTGGGATAGGGCAGCCGCTGGAGCCTTGGACCGCGTCGCGCCTTTGCGGCCTCTGACTCGGTGCCGATCTCAACCAGCTCCTTGGTTCTCCGAGGAGCTGAGGGAGATGAAGCACCGGAAAAGATGCCTAAAGAGCAATTGGAGGTCCAGCCGCACCGAATCTGACCGGACACTGGTGAGGTCTTATATCAAGACCTACCTAGTGGCGATAAGAGTGGCGAAATCCAACTATTTTTCCACTCTTATTGCATCTGCAGAGAACCGCCCAGCCGCCCTGTTTAGGGTGACCCGCTCTCTCCTATGGGTGGAAGTGAGGGAGGATCCCTTGCAGGGTAGAGCTGAGGATTTTGGACAATTCCTGCATGATAAAATCGCTCAGATTCAGGCCAGCCTGGACTCCGATTGGATAGCCTCGGACGGGATGACGGAGGTGAGTCTTGAGAGTGTCACCTGGGAAGAGTTTGACCATGTGACTCCTGAGGACATGGACAGGATTTTGGGGAGGCTTAACGCTACCACATGTTTACTGGACCCGTGTCCCTCCTGGTTGGTGCTGGCCTCCCGGGAGGTTACACGAGGTTGGTTTCAGGAGATTACCAACGCTTCATTGAGTGAGGATATCTTCCCATCTGCCCTGAAAGAGGCGGTGGTGAGGCCCCTCCTCAAGAAGCCTTCCCTGGACCCGGCTGTATTAGCTAACTATTCGTCCTGTCTCCAACCTCCGCTTCGCGGCGAAGGTTGTTGAGAGTGTGGTGGCGGGACAACTTCCTCGATTCCTGGATGAAGCTGTCTATCTAGATCCGTGCCAATCGGGCTTCAGGGCGGGTTACAGCACGGAAACGGCATTGATCGCATTGGTTGATGATCTCTGGAGAGCCCGGGACAGGGGTTGCTCCTCTGTCCTGGTCCTCCTAGATCTCTCAGCGGCTTTTGATACCATCGATCATGGTATCATACTGCGTCGGCTAGAGGGGGTGAGAGTGGGGGGCACCATGATACGGTGGTTCTCCTCCTTCCTCTCTGACCGTACACAGTTTGTGTTGACTGGGGGGGCAGAGGTCGACCTCGAGGTTCCTCACTTGTGGGGTGCCGCAAGGGTCGGTCCTCTCGCCCCTTCTGTTTAACATTTATGTGAAGCCGCTGGGTGAGATCATCCGTTGCTTTGGGGTGAAGTGTCAACTGTATGCCGATGACACGCAGTTGTACATTTCAACCCTAGGCCACCACAATGATGCCCTTGACGTGATGTCCTGTTGCCTGGAGGCCGTGCGGATCTGGATGGGGAGGAACAGGCTCAGACTCAACCCCTCCAAGACTGAGTGGCTCTGGCTCCCGACGGCCCGATATAGCGAGCTGACACCATCGCTGGCTATTGGGGATGAGATCTTACCCCCCTCAGAGAGGGCTCGCAACTTGGGCGTCCTCCTGGACTCATGGCTGTCCGATCATATGATAGCCGTGGCCAGGGGGGCTTTTTATCAGGTTCTCCTGATCTCCCAGTTGTGTCCCTTTCTGGATCGGGACGCCCTGCGCACAGTCACTCACGCCCTCGTCACTTCCCGGCTGGACTATTGTAATGCTCTCTACATGGGGCTCCCCTTGAGGAGCACCCGGAGGCTCCAGCTGGTCCAGAATGCAGCCGTGCGAGTAATAATGGGGGCGACTTGTCGCTCCCATGTAACACCCATCTTGCGCGAGCTGCACTGGCTCCTGGTGGTCTTCCGGATGTGCTTCAAGGTGTTGGTTACCACCTTTAAAGCGCTCCATGGCTTAGGACCTGGTTACCTACAGGACTGCATTCTGCCACCAGTTGCCTCCCACCGACCAATACGCTCCCACAGAGAGGGCCTCCTCAGGGTGCCGTCAGCCAAACAGTGTAGACTGGCGACCCCCAGGGGGAGAGCCTTCTCTGTGGGGGCCCCGGCCCTATGGAATGAGCTGCCCCCGGACATATGAAGGATCCCCGACCTCCGTGCCTTCCATCGCGCTCTGAAGACCCTATTATTCCAGCAAGCTGGTCTGACAGGATAAAGGTTTTTTAAATTGGGTTTTGATAGGGGTTTTAAAATGATTTTAGTTGGATGTTTAGTTGGATGTTTGGCCAAATGAATTATTTTAATAAGCTTTTAATTTCTGTTGTACATTGTTTTTACCATGGCTGTTCACCGCCCTGAGTCCCTCGGGAGAAGGGCGGTATATAAATATAATAATAATAAACTAACTAACTAACCCACCACCCAAGCAGAAAACCCTACACCTACACTTTATACCAAGGGTCCCCAAACTTGGCAGCTTTAAGACTTGTGGACTTCAACTCCCAGAATTCTCATAGCTGGCTGGAGAATTCTGGGAGTTGAAGTCCACAAGTCTTAAAGCTGCCAAGTTTGAAGACCTCTGCTCTATACCATTGTGGTCATGAATGAAGGATGATCCATACTGGGAATCTGGAAGTCTGGCACGATTACCTCCAAGTCTTGTTTTTCCTCCTCCTTACCTGTGCAAAACACCTGAGTCAGGAATGGTGGTCTCAGGTTCCCATAATGACCTGGGACTGTTCAGTACCTCTGTTCCCAGAGCTTTGTGGGATCCAGGGCAATGAGTCTCCGCCAGCTGCTGGTGGCACCCAGTGGCACAAAGTTTGATGTTCTTTCTTCTGCCTGCATTGACACCCCTTTTTCTCCTCCCTTTTTTCAGCCAGTGGTCAAGCTCCTTTACAACCGAAGTAACAACAAATACTCCTACACAAGGTAAACCCCTCTCTTCTCTGGGCTAATGCTGAAACTTAAAAGATGAAGCTTGGAAACTGTGGGATGGTCCCATCCACCCATTTTGTTCCTGCGATGATTGATTGAGTGATTGATTGATTGATTGATTGATTGATTGATTGATTCATTCATTCATTCATTCATTCATTCATTCATTCAATTTATATGCCACCCCTCTCCGAAGACCCAGGGCGGCTCACAATACACTCAAAAAATCACTATAAAAACATTTAAAAATTAAAAACAGGTTTTTCCTACGTAACATATATATATGTCTATATGTCTATATCTCTTATCTATATGTCTGCGTCTGTATATAATACATTAAAAGTAATCCTTGTTTATGATTAGTCACTTAGCAACTGTTCAATTTACAATGGACCTAAGAAAAGATACTTATGACCTGATTCTGGTATTCCAACAGCTGCCCCCCCTCTCCCAGTTACATTTTGGGCGCTCGGCAACCAACCCGCATTTACTGCCATTTGCAGTGTCCCACAGTCACATGACCATGATTTATGACATTTTTGCTAGAGTTTGGCATTTACTTCCAGTTTCGAGCAAACCGTACCCATAGCAAACAAGGGGTCCGCATAACAACCATGGCAGTTGCTTAAAAACTGCCGCAAAAAGGTGTGATCACATGGTTAACTCAGTTTACAACCGGCACGGCTTAACCATAATTACAGGATCAATTAGTCATAAATTGAGGGCGACCAGTTACATGCATTAGATGTAACATGTATTGCAAATAGATACAATTTACAATACAAAATGTAAAGTGTACATTTTAAAAGCCAAAAAATATATACATTTTGTATTTATGTATTGAAACAAGTCAAAAGATCATCTTGGAGTGAATAGGAATTTATCAGATTCAAAGTCACCTAAGGAGTCAGTTGTTAAACAGAAAAGTTCTATTACTGTAGCAAAGCAATTGTACTCAAGAGTCTTCAATCAGAGTTTGGAAAATTAATCCTAGGCACAAATCCTAGACCAGTGATGGCTAACCTTTTTGCCATTGCGTGCCAAAAGCAGGGGGAGCACAGGGGATGTGTGTATGCGTGTGCCCACACCCATAATTCTATGCCTCCCACGCATGCGCCTGTGACCCCCCGTGCTCCCCCCACTTTTGGCACATGATGGCACAGTAGGCCCATTTTTTGCTCTCCCCAGGCTCCAGAGCCTCTCTAGGCGCCTGGGGAGGGCGAAAACAGCCTTCCCCATACCCCCAGAGGCCCTCTGGAGGCTGGAAACGACCCGTTTGCCGACTTCCAGTCCCACTGGAACTAAGCTCATGTGCCCACTAATATGGCTCTGCGTGCCACCTGTGGCACGCGTACCATAGGTTCGCTGTCACAGTAAATTTAAGATATATTCAAGCTTTCAAAACGGCAGTCAAGATTATTTTGCCACCGACCAACATTTAATAGTCTTTGTGCGTCTTATCTACCTTTACATGGCAATTCTCTGGTCAAAGTACAAGGTGAAATGATATTAATTATAGTAGCAGCAGTAAAAATGAAGCTACTGCTGTTTAAGGTAAACAAGATTGCTGCAATAGCAATGAGAGATCAGAGCTAAGGATTAACTGGTGTTTGGACACAAATTCACCTGTTTTGTAATCCATCTGTGACGGGCAGGATGTCAAGCTAGGTATCTTGGACAACCAAATACTGTGGGACTGAATTCCAGGTAGTCCTCGACCTACGACAGTCGTAGGTTGAGGACTTCCTGTAATTTGAAGTTAATGCTGGTGCCAAAAAAAATTATTTACCAGCCCTTAATGACCATCATGGTGTGTCCCCATGGTCACGTGATTGTGGTTTGGGTATTTGACAATCATCTATTTACAATGGTCCTGGGATCACCCAATCATTGTTTACAACTTTTTTCCAGCCAGTTTCGAAGAAACTTCATCCCTAACAGTTCGCACTAAGTGACTTGATCCTTAAGTGATCTGCTTAATGAGCATGGCAAAAAAAAAAGATCATAAAATCAGGTGCGGTCACATGATGACTCAGTTAATGATCCCCTCGTTTCCTGACGGCAGTTCCAATCCAAACTGTGGTCGTAAATCGAGGACTGCCTGTATCTGCTTGGCAGCCAAGCATATTTAAAGCATATCCCGTCTCTCCCTCTGTAGGCGGAAACATTCAGCCCAACAGCTACAGGTAGTCCTCGACTTACGACCAGAATTGAGCCCCGAAATTCCTGTTGTTAAGTGAGACATTTGTTAAAGGAGTTTTTACTCCATTTTACAACGTTTCTTGCCATGCTTGTTAAATGAGTCACTGCAGTTGATAAGTTAGTAACCCGGTTGTTAAATGAATCCGGTTTCCCCATTGACTTCGCTTGTCAGAAGGTCGCAAAAGGGGATCACGTGACTGTTAGGACACAGCAGCGGTCATAAGTATGAACCAGTTGCCAAGCATCTCAATTTTGATCACGTGGCCATGGGGATGCTGCAAAGGTTGTAGCTGAAAAACGGTCATAAGTCTCTCTTTCAGTGCCGTTGTAACTTTGAACAGTCACTAAATCATTTGGCTCTTTTGCCATCATTGACATTATTATCTGGTTGTCTTACTCACCAGAAAACCCATTTTTCTCACCCTGGACTGGTTGATACAGTTGGAATGCTCAAAATGTGGGAAATTGGCTTCAAGGCAAACTCCTCAGAGCCCCCTCCCCTACTCACAATACACATTCCCCCAAATCTTTTTTTTTTTCTTTTGGGTCAGGAATACGTTCCTTGATGAAGCCTGACAACGGGTTCATATTTATGACGGTTGCAATGTCCCGGGATCATGTGATAGCCCAGGCTGGGCTATCAACATAATAATTTTAAATTGGGTGTTTTAAACTTCTGGGGTTTTAAATTGAGCCGAATTATTTAATAATTTTAAATTATTTTAATTGATGTTTGTCTTGTGCTTTTAATAGGCTATACACTGCCCTGAGTCCTTCGGGAGAAGGGCGGTATAGAAATAAAATTATTCTTATTCTTATTCTTGTGACCTGACACGCAAAGTCAGTGGGGAAGCCAGATTCACTTAACACAACTGTTTCACACTTCACAACTGCAGTGATTCACTTAACAATCGTGGCAAGAAAGGTCGTAAAATTGGGGGGGTGGGGGAGGGAAACTCACTTAACTGTCTCACTTAGCAACAATAAATTTTGGGCTCAATTCTGGTTGTAAATCAAGCCCTTACCTGTTATCTCCAGATGCCTCTGCTTGCACAAGAGAGGCCACTGGAGCTAGGGATGAGCCACACGTCCCTCGACACAACGTTTTTGCTGCTGGAGAAGAACAGAGTTCCGAAATCCTTCCAGCCTCCCAATTGCCCAGAATTGCTTTCGATGGCGAGTTGAGCAGTGTACAAATTTAATAAATAAAACCAGTGCTGCTTTTTTTTCTTTCCCTCCAGCACCTCAGACGACAATCTCCTGAAGAACATCGAACTCTTTGACAAGCTTTCCCTCCGGTTCAACAAAAGGGTTCTTTTCATCAAGGACGTCATCGGGGACGAGATCTGCTGCTGGAGTTTCTTTGGCCAGGGGCGGAAGCTGGCCGAAGTCTGTTGCACCTCCATTGTTTACGCCACGGAAAAGAAGCAAACGAAGGTAAATGGCAATTGTTCTGACCCAGCTCCCCATACACGACAAACCCTCTGAAGTTCAATCAATGATTCCTTTATTAGGAGCGCCAACAGCTCCAGTAAAAGGTTTCTCTCTCACTGCAGGCTAACAAGTCCGGCTGGCAGAGAGATGAATAGTTGTCTGCCACACCTATTCATCTCCACCCCCTGCCTTTTATCCCCAGAGTTAGGGTGGGGCTTTGCTAGCAGCGGAGGCTCTTCTGTCCCAAGGATCGGCCCACAGATTTCCACTGTTCTCCTCTCCTCTGCCTTCTGTGCATCCGTGCGTCAGGCACTGGACCCAGCTGTTCCTCCTCTTCCTCATCAGCCACCTCCAGACCTGGGGGCTGTTGACTCTCCATCTGACGGCCCAGGTTCCACCTCTGTCTCTCTCTCTCTCTCTGACAGCTCCATTCCCTCTTCCCCCTCAGAGCTCTCAGGTTGCCCTGATGCTGATCCTGACTCCCACGCTGCCACGTCCTCTGATTTGGCAGCCGACAGGCCACAACAGTGTTCCAGGCACTGGGACGGAGATCATAGCTGAGAGTCCTCTGTGAAGGGCTCAGTATTAATACCCAAGATACCTGCCATTGTGGGGATGGGGGAGACGTCACTCTGCCAGGCAAACTAGACAGAAAACATGACCAGATGAGCTAATTTTACTGTTTTTTACTAATTTATTGTAAGCCCTACCTTAACAGAATCTTGCAAGTCTGAAAATACAAATCTCCCACTGTTTCCAGGTTGAGAAGTTAAAGAGATTCCTTTCTGAGTTTCTTTTTCTGCCTGTTATGAAACTGCGGCCTCCCTTCTTCCTTTATCTGATAGTTCCCTAGGCAGCCATATCCCAAAGTCATTCTTTCACATCATTAAGGGAAGCATTTTGAGCCACGATGGCGCAGTGGTTAGAGTGCAGTACTGCAGGCTACTTCTGCTGCCTGCTGGCTGCCTGCAATTTGGCAGTTCAACTCTCACCAGGCTCAGGGTTGACTCAGCCTTCCATCCTCCTGAGGTGGGTAAAATGAGGACCCTGATTGTTGGAGAGGGCAATATGCTATCTCAGTAAACCGCTCAGAGTGAGCTGTAAAAGCACCTTGAAGCAGTATATAAGTTAAGTGTTATTGCTATCTTCCAAATGTTGGGAAAGTCTTGGGCAGGTAGTCCTCGACTTATGACCACAATTAAACCCAACATTTCTGTTGCGGTTATTAAGTGACTCGATGTCACGGGCTGCTGTATTTAGTGTGGCAAAAACACACACCCTTGTGCAGTTAGTCCTCGGCTTACGACCACAATTGAGTGAATCACTGGAGTTAAGTGAGTAACACAGTTGTTAAAGTGAATCTCGCTTCCTCATTGGCTTTGCTTGTCAGAAGGTCACAAAATGGGATCATGTGATCTTGGGACACTGCAACCTTCATAAGTACAAACCAGTTGCCAAGCATCCAAATTGTGATTATGTGACTGTGGGGATACTGCAGTGGTGGCAAGTGTGAAAAACGGTCATAAGTCACTTTTTTTCAGTGCTGTTGCAACTTCAAACAATCACTAAACGAATGGTTGCAAGTCAACGACTATTATACCGCTACTGCTTAAGAGCCTTGGTAGTACAGTGGTCTAAAGCACCCTGTTATTAAGACTAGCTGCCTGCAATTACTGCAGGTTCGAATCTCGCCAGGCTCAAGGTTGACTCAGCCTTCCATCCTTTCTAAGGTAGGTTAAATGAGGACCCAGTTTGTGGGGGCAATAAGCTGACTTTGTATAAATATACAAAAGGATGAAGGCTATTGCTTAACGCATTGTTAGCCGCCCTGAGTCTCTGGAGAAGGGCGGCATATAAATCAAATTGGCAAGCCGGTTGAAATAGCCATTTTGGAATGGTGGAGCTGGAAATGAAACTTAAAACGTAGGACAGAATCTATCAGAATCAGTATCTCAAATGTGTGTGTTTTTTTACTGCTCCAGCATCCATGTCAGAGGAGGGATGGGTCAGGATGCTGAAATGCATTCTCTGAAATGGAGACGACGATGGGATGTTTGGCAGCGAGCTAACCTTTTGCTTGACTCAATTGGATGGGAATCCACCAGGAAATTTAACTTTCCTTGGAATGGACTTGGAATGGAGGTTGCTTGGCTAGCCACCCATTTAGATAGCTTGAAAAGAAGACTGGGCAGGTTCTTGGAGGCCTACCAGTTGCAGCTGATGTTGGTTGTGGTTGAATGCCTTCTAAATTGCCGAGAGCAGATCTTCAATCCGGATATTGGAGACAGCATCCTGCTTTCCATTTCTGACTCACACAGACAGTTGCTATGGTATCTCTCGGTTGATTCAAGGCCAAAATACAATATAATAGCATGCAAACTCAAACAGAGATGCTTACCTGAATTGAGTTGCTTTCAAATAGTAGGAGCAAGGAGAATAGCCGGTCCAAAATTCGGGTCACCCAAGTTGTCAACCAGTTCAGAAGTCAAGATGTTCAAGGTTTCTTACACAAACAGGCATGTCACAGAAGAGCCGGAGATCAGATGTTGCTTGCAATAAAGGGAACATGGGTCAGAGCTGCTTCTTAAATCAGGCTGCAGTCAGCTGTTACACATCAAGAAATTTACTCCTTTGCTTGGCAAGCAGCCAAGAATGTTGTCACTCTGCTCTTCACTCTACTTGCTGGGTGCCTGCCAGCTCTCCAGGTAAATCAGACAGGAAACGGGACTAAATGAAGCAATTCTACTTTATTGTAAAGCTACAATAGTAAGGTTCTACATTTAGGCAAGAAAAACAAAATGCACAGGTACAATATATGTGGTACCTTGCTCAATACGGTAGTAGTAATTGTGAGAGGGATCTTGGAGTCCTAGTGGACAGCCATTTAAATATGAGCCAGCAGTGCGCAGCAGCTGCCAAAAAAGCCAACACAGTTCTAGACGGCATAAACAGAGGGATAGAATCAAGATCACGTGAAGTGTTAATGCCATTTTATAATGCCTTGGTAAGGTCACACTTGGAATACTGCATCCAGTTTTGGTCGCCACGATGTAAAAAAGATGTGGAGACTCTAGGAAGAGTGCAGAGAAGAGCAACAAAGATGATAAGGGGACTGGAGGCTAAAACATGTGAAGTACAGTTGCAGAAACTGGGTATGTCTAGTTTAATGAAAAGAAGGACTGGGGAGACATGATAGCTGTGTTCCAATATCTCAGGGGCTGCCAGAAAGAAGAGGGAGTCAAACTATTCTCCAAAGCACCTGAGGGCAGGACAAGAAGCAATGGATGGAAACTAATCAAGGAGAGAAGCAACCTAGAACTAAGGAGAAATTTCCTGACAGTTAGAACAATTAATCAGTGGAACAACTTGCCTGCAGAAGTTGTGAATGCTCCAACAATGGAAGTTTTTAAGAAGATGTTGGATAACCATTTGTCTGAAGTGGTGTAGGGTTTCGTGCCTAAGCAAGGGGTTGGACTAGAAGACCTCCAAGGTCCCTTCCGACTCTGTTATTCTATTCTATATATTAACAGAAACTTGCAATTCTGAAGGCAGAAACTTCCCACTGCCACTTGTAACTGCTTGATCCATTAGTTACAAATGTTGTAACATTTTTCTTCTTAACTTATTTAACTTTATAATACATTGCTTTCATATTTATTCTCTAACCATTGATAAAATAACTCCCATATCTTATAGTAATCAGATTCTTCCTTTCCTTTAATTGCAAGTGTTAATCTATTCATTTCTGCACATTCTAATATTTTCCTAATCACATTTTCCTCTGCAGCGATCTCTTCAGTTTTCCAATTTTGAGCAAATAGAATTCTAGCTGCAGTTATTACCTGAATAATCAAATATACATTTTCTTTACGTTTCTAGTAAAATCCCCAACAGGAATAATTCAGGTTTTAGATCAATATGCTGTTGCATCATCTTTTCCAACCACATACGGACTTTTGCCCAATACTTTTTTGCTTCTATACATGTCCACCACATATGATAATACGTAGCTTTCAGGCCCCTAATTCTTCTGAGATCTCAGGGTTACAAATGATGGTGTATATGAGGGAGGCAGAACGAAACCACTGCTAAATTTCCAAAAGCTGCATCTTCTTCTTCCTCCAGGTCGAATTCCCTGAGGCCCGCATCTACGAGGAAACACTGAACATCTTGTTATACGAGACTCCCCGGGTGCCTGATAATTCCCTGCTGGAGGCCACGAGCCAAAATCGGAGCCAGACCTCCCGCGGAGAAGACGAGGACGGCAACTACGAGCCGCGCGACCGAGTCAGGCGCATTCACGTCAAGCGATACAGCACCTACGATGACCGGCAGATAGGCCATTAGGCTCCCAGGGGGCCACCCAGAGCCCCTCCTTCCACCTGGGGGGAGGGCCCGTGTCTTCGGCACTGGGGTCCCCTCAAGGGCCCAAATCTTCCAGGAGGGCAGCTTACATTTCGGCCACACTGTGATATAGTTTGCGAAACGTTACTTCCCGATGCCGACTTACAGCTGGGAGGGCAAGCTTGTGGGTTTGAAGCCATCCCTTGGCTGTTTTGTGTGGAATTTGATGGGGTCCTTCTCTGCCTCGAGACTCTTCCTTGAAGACCTTAAAAACAAAAATCCAGATGCTGAGACCAAAGAATCACACTTAAACACTACATTGCGACGATGAAAAAAACTACAGTTTTATAGCCCCTGGTCCCCTTTCCCAGAGAAGATCTGGGTAGCCGTTTTTTTTCCTCCTTTAGCAGAATGTGATTTTTTTTAAAAAAAAAAATTGCCATAACTGAGAACTTCTGATGTCACCTCAGTTAGAATCCTTGGGGCTCTATGTTGCTGGGAATAACTGGAAATCAACTTCATCCTTGGAAAAAAAAACTCTGTTCTAGTTCCTAATTCTTACTGACGCGTTTGGGGAGAAATTTGAATGGAAGGGATATACCCAGTGTGCATCTCCTACGGGTAGTCCTCTACTTACAACCACAATTGAGCCCTTGGTTCTTGCTGAGTTTGGTTGTTTTCTTGCAAATATTTCATTATCCAAAATAGGTAGTTACTAGCACTGATGATGTTACCTAGTTTGATGATGATGAATGTATTTACGATGGCTATGATCATGATTTATCACTTATATATTTTATGTACACTGAGAGCATATGCACCGAAGACAAATTCCTTGTGTATCAATCACAATCGGCCAATAAAGAATTCTGTTCTGTTCTACTCTACTCTACTCTACTCTACTCTATTCTACATTCTATTCTATTCTATTCTCTATTTTTTCTATTCTATACTCTATACTCTACTCTCTATTCTCTATTCTATTCTATACTCTATAGTCTATACTCTACATTTTATTCTCTTCTCTATTTTTTCTATTCTATACTCTGTGTTCTACTCTCTATTCTCTTCTCTTCTCTCTTCTCTTCTCTCTTCTATACTCTCTACTCTACTCTACTCTACTCTACTCTTATTGGGATAAGGAAATATCTGCAAGAAAACAACTACCAGTAAGCTCAGAGAATACCAAGGACCCCTCATTCTAACCCTGAGCTACAAATACTCTCCTTCGTTGATACAGTTGAGCTCAAAAATTTCTGCTGCTAAGCGAGACAGTCGTTGAGTTGTGCTCCATTTTACGAGCTTTCTTGCCACAGTTGTTGAGTCCATCCTTGCGGCTGTTCAGTTAGTAATACAGTTGTTAAGTGAATCTGGCTTCCCTGTTGACTTTGCTTGTCAGAAGGGGATCACATGATCCCAGGACATCGCAACCTTCGTAAATAGGAGCCAATTATCAAGTGTTGGAATTTTTGATCATGTGACTGTGGGGAATCCTGCAATGGTCATAAGTGCGAAAAACAGCCATAAGTCACTTTTTTCCGGTGCCGTAGTAACATTGAGTGGTCACTAAATAAATGGTTGTAAGTTGAGGGCTACTTGTATTGCAGATAGCTTTGGATCTTGCCTCGCTGCTATTGGAAACCTTCAGGTTCGAGTGGAGTAGGGATTGCTGAAAGAAGCAAACCAAAAGCAGGAAGATCCAATTTCCTATGTCTGTGTCTCTGTGGACAGAGATGCTTGCTCATTCAATGATAGATAACATGGCCTGGATAAGCTGAGATTTGATTATTCTTCCAGAACATTTTTTTACAGTAATCCTCGTATTGGTTCCCAAGCTCTAGTTAGTGGAGAACAATGGGTGGGAGGTCTAAAAATTGCTTTCACCAACCTGATGCCCATAAGGATAGTTGGGCGAACTCTTAGCTGTCTGTAGGATACTAGAAGAGGGATGCGGTGGCTCAGTGGCTAAGACACTGAGCTTGTCGATCGAAAGGTCGGCTGCTCAGCGATTTGAATCCCCAGTGCTGCGTAACTGGGTGACCTCCCATTACTTGTCCCAGCTTCTGCCAACCTAGCAGTTCGAAAGCACATAAAAAACGCAAGTAGAAAAATAGGGACCCCCTTTGGCGGGAAGGTAACAGCGTTCCATGCACCTTTGGTGGTTAATCATGCCGGCCACATGACCATGGAGACGTCTTTCAACAGCGCTGGCTCTTCAGCTTTGAAACGGAGATGAGCACCGCCCCATAGAGTCGGGAACAACTAGCACATATGTGCGAGGGGAACCTTTACCTTACTTAGGATACTAGAAGTGGGGTGCTAAATGCTTTGATGCATCTTTGGGGACTCTTCTCCCCTTAGCGCTAACCTCTATAAAAATGCTGGTGTATTGTAAGGTTAAGGGGTGTGGTGCATATTGTATCCCATCTTGTCTTCAGAAATCGTGGGTGCTCCATCACTGAAGGTTTTTAAGAAGACAGTCACTTATCTGAAATGTAATAGGTTCTCCTGCTTGAGCAAGGGGCTGGACTACAAGACCTCCCAGGTCCCTTCCAGCTCTATTCTGTTCAGTCCCCTAGGCTAGTGTTTCTCCATAAGATATGAAGATTTCAATTCTCAGAATTCCCCAACCAGCCATCTTGGCTGGGGAATTCTGGGATCAGAAGTCTTCATAACCCTACAGTAGCTAAAGTTGAGAAGCACTGCCCCGAGCCTTAGACCATCATTCCCAACTGGGTGACCTCTGCGTGTGTGGATTACAACTCCCATGGTTCCTGGGAATTGTAGTTCCAGCGGGGGGGAACTGCCAGTTGTATAAAGTCAACCTTTTCAAACAAATCTGGGAAGATGGGAGAAAAGCCATATATATATATTTTTAAATTTGATTTATATGCCGCCCTTCTCCGGAGACTCAGGGCGGCTTACAATGCGTTAAGCAATAGCCTTCATACTTTTGTATATTTATACAAAGTCAGCTTATTGCCCCCACAAACTGGGTCCTCAATTTACCCACCTTAGAAAGGATGGAAGGCTGAGTCGACCTTGAGCCTGGTGAGAATTGAACTCGCAGTAATTGCAGGCAGCTGATGTTAAATGCTGCCTTAGGAGGCATTAGCCTCCTACGCCACTCAGGCTCCTATGTTATCCTTTTAAATCTAGAAAAGGTCAGGGTTGTTTTTTTCTAGGATGCCCAGAACTGAGACATAAATTTTGGCTGGCAGGATGTAAATCGTGACTTCTGCTCCTCCTGGGGGCAGAGTTTAGGGTGAGTACCAGCATAGCATCACAGCAATGAAAAAGTATCAACTTCTAAATGGAACTTCCCTATTCAGGAACAGTATATCTCAGTATCAGATATCAGTAAGGGGTAGGATATATCCCTTTGAGTGCCTTTTTTTTGGGGGGGGGAGTTTAAGATATATTCTTGCTTCAAACACATTTATGGTACCTCCTGGCTAAAATTCTCTATTTCCCAGAAAAAAATCTAGCAATATAAAATGGGTGCTTCTGTGTTCCTATGGGTAAAAAGACCCGAAAGCAAAAGTGTAAGGAACTGCTTGAAAAGAAGCCCAGTTAACACTGGTCACAAATGAGTAATGTCTTGTATTCTCTTGCATGAGACTAGATCTTATTGAGATAAATCAACCTTGGAGTATTGAGAAAGCACCCACGATTGGAATATTTCTACAAAACTTAAAATATCCACAGCAGGAATAGCCCATCAATCCAACCAATCCAACTTTTTCTCTATGATTTTTCTTAACACTCAGCTCTGCCCTGCCCTGCCCTGCCCACTCAAGCAGTCTCAACTGGACATAAACCTATTATTTCACACCACTGAAGATGGCAAACATTTTCCTTTCTGCAATTCTGGGTAATGCCCACATGGGATTGAAACGCCCGTCAAAGTTTTTAAAACGTGCAATAAGGTTTTCGGCTTAAAATGCTATTGGTGCAGGCACAGTAGCCAAGGCTTGTAAATTAAAGCCACTCCATACAATGTGTCTTGGTAGGTCATTGACTGGACAGCTCTCAGCCTTTCTGCAAACATTTCTGAAAACAAATAGTTCCAGTTTTATAAAAGCAGGTTTTTCTTTTAGGCAAAAAAAAGCGGGGGGAAGCTTGAGCTGAAAGTGGCAGATTAATTCATGCAGATTCCAAAATCAGGATGTCATCCTTGGACGTTGCTCCAGTGCAGGGGTGGAATTCAATTTTTTTTACTATTGGTGCTGTGGGCGTGGCATGGGAAGGATACTGCAAAATCCCCATTCCCTCCCCACTCCTGGGGAAAGGATATTGCAAAATCTCCATTATCACCCCACTCGGGCCAGCTAGTCGTGGTATTTGTCGGTTCTCTGAACTACTCAAAATTTCCGCTACTGGTTCTCCAGAACCTGCTGAATAGCATCCCTGCTCCAGTGGCATTTCCTGGAGTATAATGGTGCCAAAATCATGACATAGGCCCCGCAGAGGTCTTCAAACTTGGCGGCTTTAAGACTTGTGGACTTCAACTCCCAGAATTCTCCAGCCAGCTATGCATAGCTGGCTGGAGAATTCTGGAAGATGAAGTCCACAAGTCTTAAAGCCGCCAAGTTTGAGGACCTGTGACATAGGGATTAATTGGGAAAATGGGGTAGCTCCAAAGGCACAGATTACTGATTTCTGTGGCCATTTCGCCACGTGTATCCCTTTGCTTTAGAAATGGCCTGTAGCACTGGCTGGTGTTCTCCCTTAGATCCAGCACACAGGTAGTCCTCAAGTTACGATCATAGCGGAGCTTGCCCATCACGGTCGTAACTTGTGGCAGTTAACAAATCGGATCACCCATGTAACCGACATGATTTTACGACTTTTGTTGTGACGCAAACCAGACGTTTACAGCAAAATTGTCACGAAACGGAGGCGCACGATCCAGGGACAGCCAGCTGTCAGAAATTAAAATCCAGATCCTAAGTCCCCCCCCCCCCCCCCGGAAGTCTGTTGTAACTTTGTGCAGTTGCTAAGTGAACAATGATAAGTTGAGGACTCCTTGTACAAGACACTGCAACCTTTCAGATTTAACTGGTTTTTTTTAGCAGCCTCAGCCAGTGAGATTTGTTCCGAGTTGTGCTGCATTCAGTCTCCTTTAGAGAGTTTCAAATGCACCGTCTCTGCTCAGAATTGTGGAAGATCCCAGAAGCAGATGCTGCCGGGGGGAAAAAAAATAAAAAATAAAGCAAATACAGTTCTAGTGGATTCAAGTCAAAAACAAGTGACACTAATTGCAAAATGGAAGAGGGGAAGGTGGGGAAGAGGGTGGGGTATGCAGATCAGCCAAGCAAGTACATGGGGTGGGAGTAGAAAGATGCCATGGGAAAACCCACTTTTTATATGGCGACAGAGGAAAATTGCACTGGGAATAACAACGGAAGAGAGTTCGGGAGACAGGGTAACCCAAAGCCCTGGTTGATAACAGGTAGTCCTCGATTTACGCCCACAGTGGAGGCCAAAATTTCTGCTACTAAGCGAGACAGTTGAATGAGTTTTGCCCCATTTTGCGACCTTTCTTTCTGCAGTTGTTAAGTGAGTCCCTTCCAGTTACAAAGAGAAATCTGGCACCCCCGTTGATTTTGCTCGTCAGAAGGTCACAAAAAGGTGATTGCATGACCCTGGGATAGTGCAACCATCATAAATATGAGTCTGTTGCCAAGCGTCTTGAATCCTGATCACATAACCATGGGGATGCTGCAATGGGCATAAGTATGAAAAAGTCCCCCTTTTTTAGCGCCATTGTAACTGAACAGTCACTAAATGAATGGTTGTAAGTCAAGGACTACCTGTATGCCGGTGGCTGAGACAAGTTGCCCCCTTAATTCAAAAGGTTTTGAGTTTAAGGGGTTCATTCATGCTGACAATCCTTGGTGCCGTACGAAGCCTTAAATTCTTCTGTCCTTCTATCTTAAAGCCCCTTTCTCTTTCACCTGGGGGAACCTGATTCTAGATGCTGGAATAGATTTTCTGTGCATTTGATATTTAATAATTGTATGCCTTTGCATACAATAAGCAGCTGGCTGTGTGAAAGCTGGATGCTTCAAACGCTGTGAGCTTTGTATTTTGGAAGTTGGATAGTGATTTCGCTCTGTACCTAGCACTGAACAAATAAAATGACATTTTGTGCTGAATAGCACTAATTTTCAACTGTGTCTAGTTGGAAAAAAATATTGTGGGTTAGTTTGGACATAAGAAACGGGGAGTCAAATGGAGTTTCTCCCATATTTCCCCCCCCCCCTCTGATAAATAGAGGCTTGGTCTAGTCGTCCTTAGAATTGGCTCCAGGCAGTCCTCGACTTACGACCACAATTGACCTGAAAATTTACCTTGCTCAAGGAGTTTTGCCCCGTTTTACTACTTTTCTTGCCACAGTCATTAAACAAATCACTACAGTTGTTAAAATTAGTAACATGGTTGTTAAGTGAATCTGGTCACAAGGTTGCAAAAGGTGACACCGCCCGCCCCCCGGGATACTGCAACCATCATAAAGATGAACCAGTTGCCAAGCATCCAAAATGTAAATCACGTGACCACGGGGGAAATCTGCCATGGTCATAAGTGTGAAAAAGGGTCATAAGTCGCTTTTTCCAGTGCAGTTGTAACTTTGAATGGTCACTAAATGAGTCGAGGATTACCTTTGCTAGATTAAAATGGAAGATGGATGCATAAAAAGGTGCCATTACTGGACCTACGAAATGTAGAAGTTTGGACTTTCTTTTAATATTGACACTAAATTTTGAGGTTCATG